AAAAGTAAGCTCTTTTCTATGTATAAATCTCCCACACTTATTTACTAGCCCCGACTGTAATTGAAGCATGTACTGTAAAAACGGGGCACACGTCCAAATGATATCCAGCTAAAATTAGGCTCCTTGAAATTTTTTTTCTGAGGCCGGAAAGAACTTTAGAGCAGTCTCTTGAGGGACAGAGGCTCTTGATAAAGCAGGAATTATACAGTAAGCAAAACCAGGAGACCGAGCACAGTCCAATGTCCTTCTAATGTGGTGTGGCTCACTCTGATTTAGCTGACTGAAGTATCAAGACAACTCACATTGCAGCCCTGCTATCAGTATAACAATAATTCATACTCCAGTACTTTCTGTTGGTCATTACATTGACTGGGAACTCTGTGCAGTTAGTAGCAAAGTTCAATGAAGTCAAGTCAATGATAAAACCCATTTAGACAGAAGCAAAGTTCACCCGACTCCACTTGTATTTAAAGGGGAGGGCCGACAGGGCTATACCTTCCACTGTGTACCTCTGTGGATGAGTAAGCTTTTCCAAAATATGGCTTCAGGTGCAGGATAGTGGCTCAAAAAACAAAGGAAAAGAAAACACTGACAAGACATGACAATCTTGTGACTTCCATCAAGCTATTTAATGGCCTACCTGATTTCAGTGATCACTTCTGTGGAGTGTACTTACATTGCTAGGAGCCTGTTGTTCAGGCTCACGAAGGCTGATAAGGCTGAGATATGAAACAGCCAGTTAAGGACATCTAGGAAAGCTGTAACAGATATTATCACAGGCCCTGTACAGAATCTGATCCAAGAGACCTAACAATAAAGTAACTTCCTTTCCAAGAAATAATAGGAACTCGCCTTCCAGTTCCCATCCTTGTGCTCATGTACTAAAATATAAAGTCTATAGGAACTCTATTAAAAGAATTTAGATTTTCTGAATCCTCTTCTGGTCAAACTTATTTGATAATGACTTTGTTATTGTAAGTTACTCCATTTTTTACAGGCAATAGCATCTTGAAAAATGTTATTGTGTTTGCTGAAAGAGTCTTATAATAACCCACTGTTCCAGTGACTCAGTGATTCATGGCTTAATTAGTGGAAATTTTTTTGTTGTCTTTCCTGACTTCCCAACTACTTTAAATATATCATGTACTTGACTTCCCATGTCTGAAACTTGTATTTGAAGGACGCTTAACTCCAGTCACATTACAACTGAGCTTTATTTTGATCAACATAAAGATATCAACATGGATAAAGGTCTGGACAGTCAGGGCTCCAACCAGCAAAAACTTTTTATTATCAATTAATCAACTGATTGAGTGAATAATGTTCATCACAATTTCCCAGATCCCAGGGTGATGTCCTTCAAGTTAACAGTCAAAAACCTAAAGATTCAGTTTACTATAATAAAAGACTAAGAAATCCAGCAAAATAATTGGAGTTAAAAAGCTGGAAGCTGTTTAGTTTCTGCTTTTTTGCTTAAGATAGTACGCGCCCTTTCACTCTAGAGAGTAATAATCAAGTAGTTGATTTATAAATTCAGCAGGTTTACTGCAACTGATCTGAACTAGATCAGGTGATGTTTGTACAATAAAGTAACCGTCCCATCTGTATTCACTGAATAATTATAGTTTTAACTGAGTAGGACGTATTTACAAAGCATCAAGTTAAACCTTTATTTATCATTTCTGCACATAACCACTCAAATAAAACCTTATAACCGAACGATATGAAACCTTTAATCTAAATTATTTTATTATTCTCTACAGGCGTTTGACAAAACCTACCCTCAATTCTGCAGATTTTTTCCACAGAGTTGCATATGTCTAAAATTATCAACTGTCAGCTTGTGTCATACCACAGACCTGATCAAACACAAAAGTTTAAGTGGCTATAAATATGACCGAAAGTGATGGACTCCAGCTCCAGCTCTCGCCGAACACGGCAGCTCATTGAGGAAAACGGTTAAAATGAAATGTTCCTCATGGCTATCACTGTTCAACTAAATACCTGCAGCAAATACAAACAGATAAAGTGACCCAGATTAGCTAGCATACGTTGCCTTGAAATGTAACACTATTTGAAAGGTGTCCACTTTCAGAGGAACACAAACCACCTCAGTCCTCTGGCATGCAACAAGAGTCCTACTGGAGACCTGGTGGGTATAAAGTCCCGTAGGCCTCTTCAGAGAAACCAAAAGTGGCCTGTGGCTCGTGCTGAGGCTCCCTGGGTGAACCAGGACAGATAGCTCCCAAAAATAATTGTGATTCTGTAGCGGTGAAGAAAGCCGCCCCAAACCATAATAACATGCTGAAATCACTCAGTAACACAGGTCACACATGGTGTATAGCTGTCAACAGTGGCTCATGGAAGAATGTATGACACTTCCCTGTGTGACTTCATTAGGATGAGCCATTTCTTCCTGTGTGTAATTAGTGAGGGCTGTTTACTCAGGAAATTAAACTGGTAGCCATTTATTATATAGAGTAATAAAGCATTGCACTGTTTAAAGTAAAGCAAATACATACAAAATGGTATTAAGTGTCACATAAGACTGTCATAACTGAAAGTGGCTATTTTTATTTAAACCTTGTTTTCCTCATCAGGGCTGAGAAGACTCTTAAGCTTCAGTTTCTGATCAAGACCTTTTCGAAAACCGGAGGACTGTATTAGCCTACATGTACAATATTGAGATGGTTATTGTATGTGTGGTATAATAACACGACCCACTCGTATAAAATCTGAGTGAATTATGACTGGGATTGTAAATTCACCTTAAATTTCAATGGTAAAAGGCAGCTGTGGGGGTAAATTAGTAAAAGTGGATGTTAAATTTTAGAACCTATCTGCTAACTGTGTGCAGTGGATGAAACATGTCACAGTGTTGAGCACCAGTGACGTCCAGCCTCATAAAACCTGGAAACACACTAAATGTGTCAGGGCAAAACTGGGATGCTGCTGACTGATATTTGTAAATTCTTTTGATAAATAACATAAGCCATCAACCACATGACTCCGCTGACTGGTTCCATGTTATTCTTACATTTCTGTAGATCAGGTAATAAGACCAATAACCTGAAATGGATCATTAAGTGATTTATGTGGATGCAAATAAATTAAACTTGACTACCTGTGATCATTTTTCTCTTCTATAAAATAGCTATGAGTGATTCTTTCAAATGACTTGATATAGCAGCTGAAAGAAACTTCTATCCGTCCTTATATGAAATACTAAAGCAAGCAATGCTTTGCATCTGTGAAAGGTTTGGTAACTCCATCATACTGAAATTGAAATTGAAACTGAAAAAGTAGAATCAGTTTCTCCACTATCAGTCCCGCCATTATATAGGCGGGGGAACTCCTATATAATTGCAGTATACTATAGTAGTATATTGCAATATACTATACAAACTCATACTCATAAACTATACTACACACTGTTATAACGTACTATACTTATGTTTATTGAAAACCTTACTGTAGTCAATAGGTTGTCCCTGGACAGATCAGACTAACCCTAACACACTACACAGGCCACTATAATATATTATACTCCACAACACTCTACTGGAAATTATACTATACTAATTTGCATCATTTTCACATCATACACCACAGACTACTACACTATATTATACTATACTATACTAAACTATGCTGTGTGAAAATACAGCCAAGTAGATAAAAGCTAAGTAGTCTGTACATGTTTCCATACTAAAGCCTACTAAACTGTACTCGACACTGCACTACAGCACGCTACTATACTAAAGTACAGGTCACTGCACTACATCCTGCTCTACTATGCTCTATTATCTACTAAAATATCTTACTGTAAATGTACCACAATAAGTCAAAATGCTGTTTTTTCTGTTGTCCCTGCTGTCACGCTACACCTCAAACAACCATACCACACTACAATACTGATTTTCAGAGCAAATGTTGTCCAGGCGGCAAAAGTGATTTCTCTGCACCTCTGAATACTAAAGTCTGCTCAACTATATTCTACACTACAGAATACAACACTACTACTATACTATACAACAGGCTGCTGTACAACACTGTAGCCTACAGTGCTCTATCATGTATTGTCAATCAAAGCCAATCAAAAGGCTCTCTATTGTACCTGGACAGATGTCCAACAGGTCAGGTTTAGGCCTACTATGCTACACTATATTCAGAGCACACATAGCTCAGGAGCCAAAAGCTAAGTTGTCTCTATATATCTTTGTATACTAAAGCCGACTAAACTGTACTCTACATTATACACATAACACTTTACTGTTTTACTATAGGCCACTACACTCTACTACAATTGTGTCACAGTTAGTAAGACAAACTCTTACACTATACCATAGAATACTTTTGTTCATTTTCAGTCCCAGTATCAAAAAGCTAAGTGGTCGCTCTTCATATTTCCATAGTAAAGCCAAATACATTATACTCTGTATACCACTATACATGTAACTTCTATGCTACAGTTCACTGTGCTAATTATACTACTATACTACAATACAGGCCTGCATCTATTTGTTGGAAAAAATGACTGTACTTTATTTGCCAAAGTCAGCCCAAGGTCTATTTTTCATCTGTAGTCCTATACTATAGCCTACTACACCATGCTGTACTACAGGACGACAACTCCATACAATTCATTACTGAAGTAGTTTCCAGGGGGACATGGCCCAATAGCCAAAAGCTAAGTGGCCTCTAGAAACCTGTGTAACCTGGACCTTTTTGGGAGCCTACTTTGTGTATAATAGGCTGTTCAAAATTCCTTATAAGCCTAAATGTAGCAGTAACAGGACAGCAGGCCCAGTGAGTCTAAACGTCCATCTTCATCGTTTGTCATTGACAGCCGCAGGGGGTAGTCTTCACAGCCAAGCCAACAGATGTGGCAATAGGCCTCGCCAGAGCAGTGACATAATTTCTGGAAAGGCCAGTACGTTTTGGTTTCTAATAATAAAACACCTTCTAGTCCAACAACAACATAGAGGGACTCTACCTACCTAGCAGCAGCAGCCGATGCGTCTGTTTATACTCCCGTTTGAGCTCCTTCAGCGCCCTGTCAATATTCTTACTGACTTTCTTCGCCTCCTTCTCGGCCTCCTTCTCCTCCACCAGCAATTTGTCCCAGTTTTTCTGCTTTTGGGTGCTAGTCTTTTGCAGCAGCTGTAAGCGTCGGCCGCGGTCCTTCCCTGTCCCCTTACCGCTACCACCTCCGCCGCCACCGCCGCCTCCTCCACCACCGCCACCACCGTTTTGTATGAGCACACCGTCTGTGCCGGTGTCTCCACGGCGGTGCTCCCCAGCCGGGAGCCTGGCAGGGTCCCCGGGGCGCACCGGGCCGCCACCACCGCCGCGTAGCGACGAAGTCTCCCCGCATCCCCCGGTGTCCTCCTGGCGAGCTCCCCCGGCGCGGGTCGGCACGGCGGCGTCCGGAGGCTGGTCCGAGTCCGAGGTAGCGTTGGAGATAGACCCGCTCAGGTCCCCGAAGAGCCGGGGACGCAAACTGTAGCACAGCCCCATGTTGAAACCAATATTTGTCTGTGAATGTGATTTTTCATAAATTAAAATATCAAAAAAATCGCAGTTGCGCCACCAGCCCTAACGAGCCATCGTTACATTGGAGCTCCAGCGGTGCGATTTAAGTCCGAATTTGAGCCGAAAATGTGAATGAATTATGCTCCGACATTTGCTATATGTCATTTTGCATTTTCCCCAGTCAGCCTTCGCTTCGTAGTTAGTGGATCACCTGATCCTTTAGTGGACACTGCGGGTCCACCTTACCGTAAGTAACCAAAAGCACAACCTTGGAGAAAAACGCGGCTATCCGCTGCGCAGACAGTCAACAATCTGACTGCACAGTTGTTAGGTGCAATGCACGGCACGTCATGTTACTACAGTATGGCCATTTCGAGAATGCTGGTCATGATTTTCATTCCTCACATTTCATGCCTGCATGTCTAAAGACACCTACTGAACTGTAGATAGTGAACCTGCTCTTTATTATTACACAACATAGCATTTCTTCCTTTGGCCCATTAAATGTTTCTTTAAAAGAAGGTTTCCTGCCCGCAAACCTGTTTAAAACTTATTTTAAAAAAAGATTTTCAGTTAATTTACACACAGATCAGTAAAATCATTTAAGCATTTTTCTTTGTCCCCTTAATTCTAGTGTCCTGATTTAATCGGGTTCATTTACGCACAGGCCTAATATCATTTGATTATATCAGCCTTCTTATCAAGGTGATGTTTTCTGAATTCCAATTATCCAAGTGTCATTTATCAATTCTCATAATGTACGGGTAAATCTTCACAGTCAAGGCAGTCCAAGATTCCTCATCATGCTGACAAAATCTCTGGTCTTCAAATGCAAGTTTTGGGGCTTTTTAGGGATCTTTGGGGTGGTCTCAGGGGTTTCCCAAGAAAATAATGAGTTCTTTAATTCAAACATACCACCATCGAGTCTACGATATAAAATATTTACATCTTACGCTTACTTTCCCCATAGTATAATTCTCACATACACTTCTACAGTTAATCAAAACCAACAACATAATGTTGTTTCCAGTTGTGGATCATTTGAATGAAATATTAAATAAATTAGACTCCTAAGTGTCATGTATTCAAAGGTCAGAAAAAGTTGGGAAACCCAGGGTTACAGGAGCCAAAGTCAGATGCAGGGATGAAAATATACCACTAGATGGAGCACTTGTAAAACACATGCAAGGCCAAAATATTACAACAAAACCTACTCTAACCCCAGACTGAGACCCCAAAAACACCAGGTTTAGAGAGGACTTTTAGTAATTTAAATAATTGTAAATTTGAGCTACTAAGGTACAATATTATTAATCATTATACCTAAATTATTATTTAATCTCGTGGCCCTGTGTTGTCAATTGGCACTGAGTCGAAGCACAATAAGAACAGTAAATGTTTTGCCGAGGGGCCTCCCCCGGCAGCTAGCTTGCTGGCTGGGCCCATGGCCCACTGGGAGCAAGCTAAGTGCTAGTTATAGTTCCATTTATTCTACTCACCAAAACAAAAATTATATACAAAAATTATACACAGTAAATGAGTGCATAAATAGTAACATTTGTAACATTTCACACATACTTATTTATAATATATTGTGCATTATGACATATACCTTACTATTAACACCTGTAAGAGATGAGTTGGCTTTTCCAGTGACTGTACAAGACAAATGAAGATAACTGCCAACTGATTATAGTCTACATGTAGAAAATACCAATTATGCTGTAAACAGCGAATGGCAGCTAGCAAAAAAAAAAAAAAAAAATTCAAACTTCATACATTTTCTTTAATATCAGGCCAAGTTTCATGCATATTTCAGTCCATTCATCAAGCAAAGCAGTTTGGCTTAGGCTACGCAAGAAGCAATGCAACTTTGTCTGAGTGTACATCAACTCAATTATAAAATATGACTCCTTTAAACTTTTTTCACTTACAACACAGATTACATTCTTCATGCCTTTTTACTCTTTCCTCGTTCTTAGTACTACTTAGTCTGCGTCTTCATACAAATTCAAGCCAGCAATGCATTTTAACATCAGTTTGTGCAAAAGCCAGCAATCCCACCACAATTTTTTTTAGAAATTGCAATTTCTGGTTTAACCTCTATTATTCCATGTCAAGTGGGCAAACTCCATATGCTTGTAAAGATCATGTGATACAACTGAAAGTTCCAGAACAGCTACTACATAGATAGATAGATAGATAGATAGATAGATAGATAGATAGATAGATAGATAGATAGATAGATAGATAGATAGATAGATAGATGGATCTATTATATTACGTTATATCTATTATTTAAAATATTGATTATAAGATTTTTATTAGGCCATCTGTTTTCATACTTGTATTTCATGCACTTTATACATTAGAGTAGTGGGTTATGATTTTATTTGATTTTATTTTGGAAGTCTGCGCGTTGCCTAGGAGACAGGAAGCCGCCCTTGGAAACGGATGGAGCTGGCAGCATCTCTCCACTGCAAGCTTCACCGTATACCTTCACCAGTATGGAAATGTCTCCTGTGGTAGGCATACTTTCCCTAAATTTTAGTTATACTATTTTAGACATAATAAATATTTAATAAAATTGCTTATTTGACCGTTTGGTTGAACACGAGGACTGGACAGGCTGGTGAGTTTAGCTTATTTTGCCCTCTAGCTCCTGTGTTTACTCTTAGCTTGCTTGTTGTCTGCTATTACGCTAAATCAGTTTATTTAACAAAGTTATGAACAACATTTTGAAATTTGTGACGCCTTGTTCAACGTTAGTCAGCATGAAAAAATAAATACTGAAAGGACAGTGAAAAATGTCAAATTTCGAAAAAGTATAGTTAGGTTATTTTTCAGCAGCTCAAACTAAAATTCCTGCCACTTTGCTTTCTAATAAAAGGCTTTAAAATATGTATACACTGCCCATTAATATATATACTGTATATACGTATATATATAATTTGTAATCAGGAAAGCTTTTCATCAGGGAAATCCCTTCAATGGCTGTTTGACCTCTGCCCCTCTGCAAAAGCACTGTAAAGCAACTGCACCACAGTCCATTTATTAACAACTTATTAACAGATATACCTGGAGACTTGACTTGACAGACAGTGACTTTGCTGACCTTTTATTAATGACTTTGTTAACATTTGCAACTGCAAACTTAACGGCTTATTACTAAGTGAAAAACCTCTTATTACTGACTTGACTGTATGACTTACTAGCAAGACAATTTAAATTGAAAATGTAATCTGTAATGATCTTAATAACCATATAATAATAATAATGTTTTAGGCAAAATTGCCAAGAATTCACTGCTTCCAGCTTTTTAAATGTCACTATTTGCTGTTTTTCTTGTGATAATCAATTGACTATGACTCTTAGCTGGAACAAGCTGTTTGGAGACTTGTAGTACTTGTAGTGGATATTTTAACATTAATCAGTGAAAATAGGTTTGTTGCAAGATTTTTCACAACCTGGTAACCCAAAAGTTGTTCCTCTTAATGGCTTTTAACTGATCTATAAAGCATTATCAGTTGTTTTAATAACGATTAATAGCCATTGGTTATGATTTATACACCCTTTATAGTGGATTCCTTATTTAAAAGTGGTGCCATCCTTACTACCTGCCTACACTTGCACTCTACAGTTTTACTCCTCTGACCTCGTCTTACATCAGTTATAAATACATTGACCCTAAATTACTCAAGTCTGACTAAGATGTGCTTTTCAGTCATGCCCACTGTGAAATGTGCATTAACTTGATATGAAAGAAAAGCAGGAGAATTTGCTTAGTTAAAGAATGAAATCAGCGTCGACAGTAGGAGGTGTGTCTCCCCCTATTTTTCCAGCTGGAGGTGTTGGATCACATCACATTGGAGTAGGTTATTGCTTCCACGTTCGTAGACTAAATTATATTATGGTTGTTCAAGAGCTCTTTACTTAAAACTTACAGAACCAAAAACAGTCAGGGAAAATTTTTGTCCAATAATCGACAATGTTTGACACCAAAACATGTACTCGGAAGTATCAACACCTTTCAATACCACTGGCTCACTTCTATGTGACCAGTGTTGGACAAAGGTGGGTAAAGCCCTTTGCTTCTGCATCAAATTCATGCATGTAGCCTTGATTTGAAATATTACAACATCATCACACCTTACAAAACACAAATGTGCCAGCATGGTCCTGTTCTCTTACTTAGTGGACTTGATAAGGTAAAACCTTCTCCTGTGAGTCTGTTTCCTGGCACACATTCTTAAGCTCATGTCAACTTTAATCCCTTCCCCTCACAGTGGATTGCCCTTCCTCTGTCTGCCGTGAAGGCTTACCTTAAGATAGGTGAGGCGCAGTGCAACAGGCAGGATCGACACAGTGTCATTTTTCCACTCTCCCTCGCCAGGTAAACATCCACCCTTCTTCTGCAGAGGGAATGGTAAAGGGTGACCACTCATGTTTTATGTCTGTGCTTCTACAGTAAAAGCTGTAGAGTAGCCTGACAGTAGCAGAAGGATAGAGCAGAGTCGAGGGCCGTTAAGTCACTGATCTGTGGCGGGATGTTTCTCCTGTGCTTACAATGACCAACTGTTGGACTGTGTGGGACTGTCAAGGCTCCTCGGTGAAGGGGAGGCCGGGCTCTCTGTGGACGATGAACCGCTACACCACTCTCAAGCAGCTTGGGGACGGCACCTATGGCAGCGTGCTCCTGGGCAAGAGCAATGAGACTGGGGAGCTGGTGGCCATAAAGAGGTGAGAGTAGCTCAGTAAACAAACCGCGGACATACTCTGTTGTTTTGTCTCAATCTGTTAAGATGATTAAACCCTGAGTGGCTGCTGCAACGTGCTCGGAGGCTGTAGACTCAAACATGTTGTGTCCTCACATGGCACACACAAATATAGAAAGACAAATAGATTATGATTGTTTGCATCATGTGTAGCCGCGTTACAGGAAATAACCTCTTGAAATGACAAGGTTAAGGATAATTTTGAAGATGCATGTTTCTTGTCAAAGTACAGGCACTTAACAATTATTGTTCTGTCAAAGTTCCTTCTCTGTCTTTCCTATCTGTCCTTGGCAAGAAATTAATAATGAATGTTTTTACAAGGCTCCACCAGGCACTGTGTGTAAATGTAATGTTATAGTGCAAGCTGATACTACTGATGACAGTGAAAGAAGTGAAAGTACGCAGCATAGTGTTAGCTCTTACAGTGTTTGAAAGCTATTATGAAAGTGTAGTAGTAAGAAAATAAGGCTACAACAGCCAATATTCAATGTATTTTGTGGCTTTTATATTAAAATGAATATGAATGTCAACATGTATGAGTAAAAAGGTTTTATATAATAATCTGCAAAGGACAGAATAGTATGCAATCCCTCCCAATGAGGAACCTACAATATACATTTGCCGTATATCTGAATGCACACTGTGACACAGGAATGAAACACAAAGCGTTTTCCTGAACACCACACAGCGAGTGCTCAGAACATAGAGATCTAAATTAATTTGCAGTGGTTAACATGCCTTTCCCCATATTTTTATCATATCCATATCCATATCCATATCCTGTCTGTATGTATAATGTCGAGTGTCCAATAAAGGCAAAAAATACCAAAGCAAATCTTTAAAGTCAGAGAACTTTGTATTAGATTAATTCTGGGTATTGATGTTCTTAAAACCTTAGAAGTTTTTTGATTTTTATTTTAGTTTCCTACAACTGTCAGATCACACAGTAAAGAAACTCAAGTATCAACAATAACTTAATCATGAAAATATTTTTTTTCAACAGGATGAAGAGGAAGTTTTATTCTTGGGATGAATGCTTGAATCTGAGAGAAGTGAAGGTGAGAATGATTATAGTCATTATGCGTTTGACTGTATATTCAGTAACATCATTGAACCAACGATTTTTTTTCGTTGTCATTTTAAACCAAAAATTATTTAACCTGCAAAATCCAGCTTTTGGTTTTGCAACATTCCTTTGGATTAAGACATAATTTATATACAGTAAGAAACTGAACCCAGTAAACTACTCATAATTGGGAAGCAACTTATATCTACATATATATTGCCCATCATGAATTATTTCCACAATATAGATAAAAGGTATATTCACATATAAAGACAAAGCCTTTTAGTAATAAATGAAAATTTTGTATTAGTCCTGGCCCCGACTGTTGTCCTAGCTTGGCTTTGTTTGCCACACACTGAAAACCTGACAATAAATGAGGACGATAGCAACTCCAAAATGTCATCTTGTCTCGTTTTCAGCTCAGTTGCACTCCATGATAAATTACATTTCTTTATCTACTGCATAGTGAGTGAGCAAGTTTGAAATTTACACATTAGCCTGAGCATAAAAAACTACTGACAGTGGGTACTGTGACAAATTGTTTTGGCAGCTTAAAGTATTGTTGGCCTGTAAAGTTGTTGTACACAAGCCCCTGGCAGCTGAGTGAAAGAGCTAATTTCAGACACTACAGTATGTTCGGGCATTTGAGCTAATTTACTGAGATGATGAGGTGACTTTGAATGACTTTATTTAATGAATCTTTTGTATGTCTTTCTTAAATAATTTGTGTTCTTAGTCTCTGAAGAAGCTAAACCATACCAATGTGGTGAAACTGAAGGAAGTCATCAGGGAAAATGACTATCTCTACTTTGTCTTTGAGTACATGAAAGAAAACCTCTATCAGCTCATGAAAGAAAGGTAAGAACATACCAGACACCAAAGTTACTTGTGCATTTATACATTATTTTAGTTATGTGCACAGAGTTATTTCTGTGATATAATCCTGCAGAGTGTTTTCATTACCATTGGGAATGTGAGAACTATTTGGGTCAGCTTGAGTCATAATGTGTCAGACTTCATTTTTGCAGAAACAAGTTGTTCCCTGAGTCAGTCGTCAGAAACATGACATTTCAGATATTACAGGGACTGTTCTTTATTCATGAACATGGTAGGTGATTTCAGCGTGGCCTTTCAGTACAGATAAAAGAAAAAAAATACCCCTGCTATCTTTTCTCTTCCTTAAAATGCTGTGTTATCAAGCTGTGAGCACTGTCTTGGTTTACGTAATTAATTGACTAAACAGAAAACAACATATCTAAACCCACAAAGTATATAAATGCTGGATGGTTGATAAGGCACCAGGCTTCACATGATTTTCTCCAACCAAAAATGAGTCACTTCTCTTGTGTGCTGTTGTGAGAAGAGGAGGTGTGAGAGCCCCAAAGCCTAACTGAACAAAGTTTTGTTTCTCAGAGAGAAAAAAAAAGAAAATCAACGCTTTTTAGTGCATGTGGGTGTTGGTGTTATTCCCACTTCAATAAGGCATGATTGTTTGCAGAGTGTTTTTTTCGTTTATGCCCTCTTTCTTTTCTTTTGTCTTTTACCACTTTGCTGCTGCCAGGGAAGATAAGATGTTTTCTGAAAATGAGATAAGGAACATTCTGTTCCAAATATTGTCTGGCTTAGCATTTGTGCATAAGCACGGTAAGAGATTCCTCTTGTCTTTTCTCTGTGCTTGGCTTGACTGTGTTTTGTCAGGTTAAAGCATCTTTTTTTTTTGCCAGAGATGTTTTAACTCTGTGTTTTAAATAAATAAAAAAATCTAAAAACACATAAAACTGTGATATGCATCAATAGAGAGCCACGTCTTGGTTGCAGTATAAATAGTAGTGGTTGCAATACTAGTAGAAGTTAGAGGCAATAAATATTTTTTTCCATAAAATAAAGCAAATCGAGACAAAGATCAGCAACAACACAGTTTTATTTGACTTACTCGTGTTTTTCAGGGTATTTCCACCGTGATATGAAACCGGAGAACCTGCTCTGCATGGGCCCAGAGCTGGTTAAGATTGCAGATTTTGGACTAGCAAGAGAAATCCGCTCCCAGCCACCTTACACAGATTATGTGTCCACGAGATGGTGAGACTCACCTCACATCAGAGTCTCCTTATATCCATGTAATTCCTGTAGATGATCACCTTCTACATAATGAGCTGTGATGGATGTGTAGTCTGACCTGAATCTTTTGACCTACTGTAACTCCTGCTGTATTATGACTGAACATGTACCTTTAAAAAGATTATAAGATTTAATTGATACTGACAAGGGGGAGGTAAATCCATTCAGGGGACAGAGGAAGACAAACTGACTAGACAGTGGATAATCAGTGTTGTGATTATTTGGCTGATACCCTCTATTTATACTACATATTAACATTAATCCACTACCTCTACAACTCACATCTTCAATGTTAATCTCTCTGTAGATAATACAGTGTGGTGTGTCATACTATCTGTAATCTGATGTGGGATTGTCCATCTTTGATGTGACAGAAATTACAAATTTATGTATGGTTTCCGTTAGTCAGCGTTATATTTAAAGGTCCATGGGTTTATTTCCTAAAAAGTCAGTTCAACTAAATTACAGAAAATATTTTTTTTACTTTCCTCCTTTAGCTATACTGGAAGTTTTGTTTTAGTTTGGATTTTTTTACCATGGATCGTACCACTGTTTGTGGTGGTCACACCTTTTAAGAATTAGATTTAAAAAAAAATCAACTGCAACATCTTATTCCAGAAATGCTGGTCCCATTAATCTGCATAATTCAACCTACAAGAAAGTAATTCTATATAAAAAGTCTGTGGATTATCCAGAGTAACAGGGACAGAGATTAACATAAACAAGAGGAAGAAGAGTTAAATCTCTTATATGCAGATGTTCCATAAATATTGTTATACCAGGTACCGAGCCCCAGAGGTTCTGCTCAAGTCCAGCTCCTACAGCTCACCCATCGACATCTGGGCCGTGGGCTGCATCATGGCAGAGCTCTACACTCTCAGACCCCTGTTCCCCGGCAACAGCGAGGTGGACGAGATATTCAAGATCTGTCAGGTGCTGGGAACGCTGAAGAAGGTGAGCCATCACAACAGGTGTCACAAGTGGTGCCTCTGCTGTGTCTGTGGATGCAACCAAACTCAATTCATCACCTCTGTGTATATTTCTTGGATTATGGTGACACTCACTGTTCTTGGACATTCTGTGGTGCTTTCCTTTTTGGTAGCAAAAACTCTGTTTGAAGACATTGACATTTTATTAAGGAAAAAAACTAACTGTATGTCCTCCTGTTTCTTGCCACATCAGTCGGACTGGCCTGAGGGTTTCAACCTGGCGCTCTCTATGAACTTCCGCTTCCCAAAGTGTGTCCCCACCAGCCTCAGATCCCTGATCCCCAACGCCAGCAACGACGCCATCACACTGATGAAAGACATGTTGCAGTGGGATCCTGAGAAAAGACCAAGTGCTGCTCAGGTACATGCAGTTTCAACATAGATTAGCCCGAATAAACAAAAAATATACAAAGATTAGAGTGAAGACAACTGAGTCATGTTGAGGTGACATTGACAAAGTAACACAAGTCCTTCGGTGAATGCTTTTATCCCAAGCACCTGTGAGTACATTGTTGAGTGCACTTATTTTTAGCATGTGAGGCCCAAGTGGGAATCAGTCAGCTTACCTTGGCTGTTACTGTAAAACCAGACTTGATGTACTGAGGTAGTGCACGTCCACTGACTTCATGCAAACCGTGAAAGACAAACACATCATTGTGAAAATGTTTTAAATACTACTGGAGCTTGAAAATGACAAAGTGTGCCGTATGTTAATAATTTCAGCCTTTTCACTGTGAGAAATGTGCAATGGTGGTTTGTCTCATTAGTCCTTTAAAAGATATATTATGCATAATATTCCATGTCTGATAGACTTGAACCCTTTGCCTAATTTCTATGTTCTTGTTTGCTATTTTATTTTGATGCTTCTCATTCTTTGATTAATTTTTTAATTAATTATATATTTTTGTGTATATTCTTTCCATAATTAATATGTTGCTTTATGCCACGCTGAAAGCTTCTCATTTGTGGAAAAGCTAAATCTTGAGCTTGAACATGAACTAAAAAGATGTAAGTGTAAATATTCTTCCTTTGGTTTGTTCCATTTGTGTTCCAGGCTCTGCGGTATCCATACTTCCATGTCGGCCAGGCGCTCGGTGCTCCTTTGAAGTACTCAGAGCATCACAAGGCTCACGCAAGGACGTTTGAGGTGGCTACAGCCAAACCAAAGCCTCTGTCCCTCTGTAAGACAGACCTGGAGTCCGGAGAACCGAGCAAGACCCAGGCAGATCCACAGACCTCCATCCAACATCTACATCAGCCGCTAGAGGAGATTAACCTTCCTCAGGACAACATGGAGTCAAGCAGACAACAAGCAACACCGGGGCAGCAGGAACCTCTCAGCCTGGTGAAAAACAGGCAGCCGATGAGCTGGCACACTGTAGGTATCACTCAGCTTCTCAATGGCAAACCGAGAACTTTTCAAGCCCTTTAGAATACATTTTTCCACCCTGTACATTGATATCAAAGCCTACCATACAAAGGCCTTGGAATTATATCTTTCCCATTCATGCCTTGATAATTAAATTAGTTTTATTAAGAGAATTGTCATAGATTTGACTTTACACCAGCATGAATTTGATTTCAACCATTCATTTTGGAGGGAAGATCCGTTATTTTAGACTAGAGCAGATAAATGTTCATTACTGAATATCGATTAGTTTTAACATACACAAGAATCATAAAAATCATCTCCCCACTATTCTCTGCATCAGCGAGCAGCAGCCACTGGAGCAGAGAACGCTGTATCCAGAGTCAGGACGGGACGTAGACGATGGGGCCAGACGTCTTTCAAGTCAGTCGACAGCTGGGATGAAGGTGACGACAAGGACGCTGGGGTTTCCATCTCCAAGAAACCCACCATCAGCTCTCTGAAAGACAGGACACTTGAAGGGCACAGCTGCCGGTTAGAGATCATCATTTTCACCTAAAAGAGTCTTCATCATTTGTTTTGAAAAAAAAATGCAATAATGCTTTTTTGTCCAGATTTCCACAGTCAAAGATCAATACAGTAAAGTTACCGAGCAAGACTGGGCTAAACAGAACTGACTCCACTGTCCTGTCAGCCAAGCAGCACTACCTCCGCCAGTCCAGATATCTGCCAGGTGAGAAAATGTGATCTACCACACACAAAAAAAATGTCCCAGTCTAGTGGTAAAAGTAAACAAAAAAAAGTTCTCAGCATAATTTTAGTTTCTCGGCTTCCCCAAGGAGTGTTCAGTTTACATTATGCTACTTCAGTTACACAGGGAAGCAAAAATTATTCTCTAAACACTAAAAACTAAGCACTACCAACACTGACAATTGTGATTACATTGTAAGGAATGAAACAAATTATACACTTATGTGAGAACAAAAAGTTTTATCTCCAAAAACACTGAAAGAAGAAAAAATATCAGACAAATCAATTTTATTAATATAATACATTATGGTCAAAAGCAGTAAAAGATGGGAATTGACACTTCATAGACTCTTGGTTGTTGCTGTATGTTGTTCTCAACCTGTTGAATTACTTAGTTCATGCTGCACAAGTTCAGTGTTAATGTTTTCTCATACAAGCAACTTTATAGCTCCTGTGGTGTCCATACTTTCCACATACCGCAGGTGCTGGATCTAAATAGCGTGTGTCAGAGTTTCATCAGATATGGGTTATGTGTTGTGTGTGGGCTCAGGTACAGTGAGTTCATTCTGAGTTCTCTGTCCTTTTCAGGTGTAAATCCAAAAAGCAACTCCTCAGTAGGAAGCCAGATTGCCAGCAGAAACCTGTGGGACAGAGGACAGGGCCTGGAGTTCTCTTTTAATAAAGGTAAGAGAGTCGAGGATAAAGTATAGAATGCTTTTACCCGTTCAGAGTAACAGGTAGGAGCATTTTTATATTTTTAGTCCACTACATTTGTCTGACAGTTAGTTAATAGTTACTTTGAAGATTAAGATTTTACACACAAAAAAACATATAATCAGCTGGTAAAACATGATGGATGCATTATTATATAGATTAATATGTGTGACATGGTATTTTATTAACATTGTTAATGCTCATAAAAAATTTTTTAAAAACACAAATGTTGCTTAAAATTCATATGAACAACAACACAATGCAAACTAGAGCCTGTAAAATAAAGTAATTGTTGTTTTATTCTGTCTCTTAAAGCTAAAGCTACTCAAAATATACTCAAAAAGTAATCACATTGGAGTTAAGGACGTCATCAGTGATCGATTTCTCTATCCTGTCCAGAATCCTTCATGAGCAACACCAACAATCCAACCAAGACGTATATATCAGCTTTTCAGAGGACGGAAACAGGAGCAGCTCGACACAGGATCACACTGGCACCGATTGAAGGCACCTCTGCTAGTGAGTCACAACTGAGAGCTTTTCATTTCCTCTAATAACGATCAGAGAGACTTAAGTTTGGTTCAGTGTTTGCTTGGGATCAATCGGGCCTGAGTCAGATGATACTGGTAAATAATTATTTGAAGTTGCAGTATGTTCAAGTGCAACTTGGTGGGGCGTCCTGGTGGTCGAGTGGTTTACGATGCAAACCATGTAACCATAACTTTCCTGGTTCAATTCTGGCTAAGAACATTGTCCATTTAATTAGCCCTTCTCTCTTTCTAAGTTTTCTGTTGCTCAGACCCTAATGCTACCAAATAAGTGCAAAAATGCAGTTAAAGAAACCTTCTTTGACTTCCCCTCCACCATGCTACAGCAAAGCGCCCCCTGGAGTTGGAAAGGAATCAGTATTTTCCTTAAAGACCAAAGCGTCTCAGAAGACTGTTGTTGATGCAGTAGCTTTCAGTGAATACTACTTTCAGAACCTATCTGATGATTTTTTTTTTTTTTTTTACTCTCTTTCCTTTTGTGAATCTCTTAGTTGATCTTTCCTCGGCTGCTGATCTAAGAATTGACTCTAAAATCAAAACATGTAAGAACAAGATCTCTTCAAATAAACTTCTGCCCTCAAATGAAGGTAAAAAAATATCAGCATTATGAGCACAAGAAATGTAGCTTCACGTTGCTCTCCGAGTCTTACGTAAACACACTTTTCCTTCACTGTCACTTTGATTTCAGAGTATGAAGGAGGGAGCAGCAGATCTCTGAATCCTCAGATCCCTGGATCCAGCACCAGCTCTGTGGGGAAGAAAATGTTATCACGGAGCACAAACCTCCAGCCGGTGCATGGACGAGTTGACTGGGCCGCCAAATATGGAGGTCACCGGTAGCACAGCAGAGCGCTCTGCTCCACCAGTGACTCCCACTGAACCAGGAAATACAGACTTGTTGGCTGCTGCCAACAGTGGGCAGCAATATTTCTTACTACTCTGTTGTTACATTTGCCATGATATTAAATATTGTTCAGTGTTGTAGAAGTGAGTCATGACTTCTACCATCAGTATTTTTTTAAATAATAGACTAAATAAATAAATTCATAAGAAAAGAAATAAAGTAGTTTTTGTATCTAAGTAAGTGAATGTGTTATTTCAAAGCAGTAGAAACAAGTCCAGATATGCAGTACGTTCCTATTAAAGTACACAAACAGGTTTAATGAAGGATGCACAATAATCTGCTTTGATGATTTACTCACAATGGAGCAAAGATAACATAGCCCCATACATTTTACAAAATCATAATTTAATTATAACAATCACTTTTTTTTCGAACGTCAGAAAAGATACATTTTCCTTTCATCAGTTTTGTTGTCCTAGAACATTTTTCTATAAAATCAGGTATAAAATAAATTGCTTTTACAGAAGACCGTGATACAAAACTACACAGAGGGGAATGTTATATTATTCATGTTCAAAATATTTACAGAGACAATACATTTAAGTATTTTCAAGATTTGTGTGGTCTCTTTATCATCCCAGTTATGATCTTTGCCAGCATCAGTCCACTGAAAAGAGACAATAACATTTATATCAGGATATGGTCAAAAAAGATTCTCAAGTTATTAAAAGCAGAAGTCTATGCTCTTCATGTTGCAGGATATTGTCAATTACCAAATGATTAACAGTTACAGTGAAATTAAAATGTGTAATAGTGTGTTTGTTTTTTTTTTACCTGGCTAAAGTCATTAAACCAGCTGGCATGAACTTCCACGAGCTAAGGAATCTTAGGCCCATCAGCACAGCCAGAGTTCCTGAGGTGCCTGCATTTCCACAGTGGAGGGAGGCAGTTGTTGCCATGTGTTTGTAAAAGCTGCACTTGGACTGTCACAGTTTAACAAACTAAACTTGCTCACCTAGTGAAAGCCAGACATTCTTGGGATTTTGAGATGCCAGATAAGCACCGACTGCAGCCAACAGGCCAAACAGGAGCCCAGCTGCCAGAGAGGTGACGCTGCCTGTGGAGCAAACACAACAAGGTTTTACTTTGAAATGAAGAGTTAAATCAAGTTTGATGGACTGTCTTTTTATAAACTCTCCGCTTTTACCTCAGGATCAGACTATCCTCACAGGCTGTAGTCTGTGGTGCTACTGATCTTTTGTCCGGCACATTTTTTTTTTTTATCAGTGAGGTTAGATTAAAGAATCTTGATGAAACTGAAATCTGTTGCAGGACTGTTTCAGACTGCATAAGTGTTAGTTAGAAATGTCAAATAAAATATGAAGTGAGTGTAGATGGAGATCAGGTTATATCAGTTATATATCTAAATCTCAGTGTGTCTTGCCCACCTGCTTTCAAATAACCAATGATTCCTCCTGCTGTCACCAGAGCAGCATAACTGAATCCAGCCCAGTCCACAGCCATGACCAGATTCACCCTGCAGCTGTATGAGGAGAACACGTCACTTAAACATCTGCACTGCACCGCGGCTCGACGGTTTACACGACTGTGAGGCACCGATCAAAGTTTCACTGTCAACAAATCAAAAAACTAAATATTCTCTAAACTGTGTGATCATACCTGAACCTCCACACTTCCGAAAGGTTTACACTTCCGGAGTCGTGTAAAAGAATTTCAAAATAAAAGAATGCTTGGCAGGAATACAAAAACTCTACGCACTTAAATAATGTTACCGTTTTTAACCATAATGAAAGGAGAAGTCTGTTTCTATGTCTGTATTTCAATTTTCTCAATAACCGCTCACCCGATCGACTTCAAACTTGGTGGGTGTATTGGACCATGGCGGTTGTCAAGAAAATCGAAGGAGAGACAAATGATTGCCTAATGATGGACACAACTCTCTTAATAGTGAATATACAGTGATATACACTACAGTTTATTAGGTGCACCCACCTAAAAGCAATGAAGTAAACATCATACAACACATTTAACCTGCTCAACACATACTGAACATTTTTATTGCAGGACTGTTGTATTAGACTGTATTAGTTTTAGCCAGGTGTACCTAATAATCTGACAAGTGAGTGTATATTTTCCAAAGAATAGCATCAGCAGCTAGTCTACCCTTCTTCACCTCCTCATGCTAACCATGAGCAAATGCATGTTGGACTATACATAAAAGTTAAGATCAATGGAAAGATTAGTGGGACCAATTATATCTACATATTATATATGTGACCAGGCCTGGACCTCAGATGAAGTTGTCAAAGAAGCAAATATAATGCAGATACAGGTACTTTAGGTCAGAGCAAGTGAATGGTGACGCTCGTCTTTGGGCCTAGCAGATTTAGCAGACAGCCACATACCCAGTGTGTGTGGCCTAGGAATAGGTCAAAACATTTAAATGATTGCTGGACTTACATATGAATGCCCACCCAACTTGGAGCACTTTTAACTGTGTACCACTAAATGACAAATGAATGGATTATAAAACATATTTATTGTTGCCCATCTCATTTTCCACCATTTTTTTTTCTGCTTTTCAGTGTTGACAACAAAAATATTTAACCAAAAAATACAAATCAGAACTTGAAAGCTGTCAAACTGGTTGTGATCACAAGTAAAGACATGTTTGAAAAAAAGTCCAGATTTATAATAGTTCATGGAAAGATTTAAAAATAATTTTTATTGCTGTCCATTTTATTTTCCACCCTTTTTCTTCTTTTTGGGTTTGCTCTCATCTTCCAGAATGACTTCTTCGGTTGCGATTCGGACTCTCTTTGTCTTTGAAAGTTCTTGAGCAAGTTCTGTGGACACACGAAAACAGATGGTGGATGTTAACAAGACACAGACGCAGAAACAGTATGTGAAAGCTCTGTAATTATTTAGTGGAAGATAGCTAAACAAAAACATGTTTGTTTTTTTTTTTGTTAGAAACATCCTCCTTCAGAGCTTGGAGGTTTTCCAGTACAGCCAGTTTTCCCACTGTGCACTGTAAACATTTTGAGGTTATTGCTACTCTAACTTCATGATGCTTTGACTGTAAATATGAACTTCTTCAGTTTAGGATAAAGGTTAAGATTTTCTGCAGTCAATTCATTCTCATTCCGCTCTTGTTTAAAGTGCCTCCCTGTCCCAACAAAAAACCAAAAACAAACAGCCTCACTATACCAGTTATTATCTATTACTGGTGTTTTTTTTTCCTAACGTGATAATAAAGTGTAATGAAAGTCCGTGTTTGCAGGATATCACCTTCAGACGTTGTCGCCTCAGCTGCCGGCTCCTCAGCCGTCTGCTGCACTGATGAAGGTTTCCACACAGCGAGGCACGTCAGTCTGGCTGTTGTGTTCACTTCCCCAAGGAGGGTGGGAGGCTCCAGCTCCTGTTGGACAGCAGCAGTACATCATCAGATAATCAGCAGCTCAGCAGGTAACAGCAATCTAATCTTGGCAATCTTATAATTTCATTCTTGTAACAGGTTTTTATTATTATCATTTTACTACTTATCTGATTAAATCTAAACATCGATCTGATTTTAGTCATTATTGCTAATATATTAAAGAACATAATTACTGTTTTCCAAAGTAGATATATTGTATGTAGAAAGGTCATAACACTCACTGTCGCTGCAAATGTGAATGTTTCAAAAATTTTGTTAAAGTAACAACTAAATCTCTTCTACCCATGAGTTCAAGACAAACAAACATTAGAGACGTGCCTCTTTCAGATGGAGTTTCCACATTTTGATGAATCCGTCATTTGAAGCCGTCACCAACACGCAGTAATCCTCCATATTAAAACTGTCAACTGCTTTCACCCTGATAGATAGTTGGATAGTTTTTTAATCAGTTTTCATTTTTATCAATTAATACATTTCACAACATTTAATTTGAAACACATTGTACATGATCAGAAATACGTTTTAAGAAATGCAGCTCAAAATAATTGAAATACATATTGAAAACAACTGCAGCTAAACAGCTTCACACATAAATGCTGGTGGATCTGTGAAGTAAAAAAAAAAACAAACAAAAAAACACTTTGGAATTACCTGGTTTCATGTGCTTTGAACTCACACACCCATTTCTGTTTTCCCATGTCACATAACCTCACAACTTCATCATCTCCTGCGATGGCCAGGATGGAGTCCTCGAAACAACAAAAAAAAAGCAGGATTACAACATATTTTTAAATTTACAGGTGTAAATATTTTGTTAATGTAAATGAATTACTGTCATCTTTTGGTGAGATTATTAGGCAGATGCCAATTATCACTCAAAAAAGTCATTGTTTATGAATTTCTCCCAAAAAAAATTCTGAGTAATAGTCAGAGAACTTACATTTAAGAACTTAATAGATGAGATCCTTTTGGGGTTTGTAACTGTTCCTGTCACAGAAGCTGTCTCCAAATCGTAGATGTTCACCTTGTCATTTGCCACCACCACATATTTATTCCCATCTGGAGACCATCTAACTATGTGTGCATCTGTTAAAAGTGAGTAGAGTAAAAAAAAAAAAAAAAAAAAAAAAAATCAGTTCAGGTCATTTCAGATATACAAATATCATCACATCTCTGAACAACAGTTCATTGACTTCACAATGAAACTTACTCTGTTTTATGTTTTTGATGAAGGCTGATCTTCCATTGATTAGATTCCAGGTTCTAAAAGGACAGAAAGATGCAACAGTCACTTCTCATTCCCTGTTTAGATGAAACACCTGCCTCGATGACTCTGGAGCAGAGCTGTGGGTTTTACCTGAGAGTTTTGTCTGTCCCAACTGAAAGTGCAAGTTTCCCAGATGGATGGACGGACAGCGACATGACATGGCCTCTGATGAAAGCAAGAGTTTGAAGCTGGTTATTCTGACTTGACCCATCCAAGAAAATACAAGACAACAATCATACAAACACAACCATCGCAGTGCTTCTGCAGCACCTGTCTGTGTGTACCTACTTGTGAGCTTTGATGGACTTGAGGCACTCCCACTTCTTTGTGCTCCACACACACAGGAGTCCATCCTCTCCTCCACTCAGTAAATGAGACGATCCATAAAACTCCAGGCAGGTGATGGTGCCTGTGCAGTTACAGGGAAGTTTGAGTCAGATCACAAGGTACTGTCTTAAAGTTTAAAGTTAAAGTTTGTTTAATTCTTCAGTTTCAAACTTCTTGTTCCATCAGCCAAGAAAACAAATAAGGTCTATGAAGCTACCTGGGTAAATGTTTTATAATTATTCAGACCCCAACAGTCATTTCAAATTAACTCATGAGGAGAAATCAGTTTGCTACCATAAGTGAGGAAGGTGGTCAGGAAAACTGGGCATGAAATTATGTGAGAGAAGAAGGAAAAACAACTGGATTCTAACAAAAATAAATAATGAGACTGCTGGCTCTTAAGTTAAAAACCTGAAAAACCCAGAAAAGCCATGCCAATGAAAATGTTTTAAAAAGTACCCATTATAAAAAAAAAAATAATTAAAAAAAAATGGCAGTAGGTCTAAAAAAATGTTTCATTATGAGTAGAAATTTTGTTTTAAAATAATGTGGTGTTTTTTTGTAACTGAGGAAAAAAAATCATATGTGAAGATTTAAAGAGAGATTATATTTTTTGTGCAAACTGTGGAAATGTGAGTCCTGTTTTAAACATCTCCTTTAGAAAGTGAGATAACTTTCACAGTATGGTTTGGTAGTCTGACTGCTACTGAAACAAATCCATTAAAAAAAATAGTTAAGACTGCATCTAAAATTACTGGCCACTCCCTCCCATCACCATATTCAAATTGGAAGGATGCAGAGCCACACTGTGCCACAGCTTCTTGTCCTGCATTGTGCATTCAACCCATATACATAACTTAATGTCAAGCATAAGATCTACCTGAGATACTCACCGTCATGATGCAGCAAAGCACCATGCTCAATTCTCTTCTTCATGTCATACAGCTGTATGGTTTCATCTTTGCTTCCTGTGACAACAAACCTCTCACTGGCTGCCACAGCTGATATGGATGCTGTGTGGGCGTGATGTGTGAAGTCTGCCTTGGCTGTCCACTCCTGCACGACAAAAAACATGAAGGAATTGGGAAATAATAACTTTAATATTGAAACTAAGGGGGAAAATTACAATAAGTTTCTGAAAGGGACATTTTTAGACAAAAGTTATTTTCGTTTTATCACATCATAGTGACAGGTCAGAACAAGACATACAATGCAAATCAGTCTTGGACAATGACAGTTACACACACAACTACAAACCAACAGACTCCAACTTACTTTTTCATCAGTTTTCACTCGGTAACCAAAGGCTATCTGCTCGTAGCTCCCAGCAATCAGCTCCAGTACAGCTGCCATGCTGCCACTTACAGCTACAGCGGGCTAGGCTAGCCAGTTAGCTTTCTTCAAACTTCAGCCTTTTCTAGTCTAAAGTTTGTCGCCTGGTTTCAGCGACAGCCACTACAGAAGCAAACGGATGCCTACATGAAAAAGTCAGTGGAAACAAGCAACGTAAACGACGGACTAAAGCTCTTTCATCAGGACATGTGTCGCTAGTTTTGCCAAACTCACTTCCAAATCAAAACTAACGTGTGTAGCTTTAGCGCATGCGCAAAACTCTACATCGGTTCATCTGGTTTTCAAAATAAAAGACGGGATTGAGAAGTGTTTAAGCGTCAGGGTTTCATGCAGTTTAAAGGTGACAATTGATTTCCGTACTTTTCAGGCTGTACAACTTTTCAAATAATAATTTAAATACTAACAAATTCCTTTAATTTAGAGAAATTTGAGGAAGGAGTTGAAATGTTTTGAAAAATATTGATTCAGATAGATAGATAGATAGATAGATATATAGATAGATAGATTTTTTAAATTCTTACAGCAAACCTCTGTCAGACGAAACATTTATGAAAACTTAATCCAAAACATTTATGTCTTCTACAGTAAAGAGATTTGCTCTATGAAAAGCACACTTTATTCCCAGTAAGCCTAGTGTTCATTATTAATACAACCACAGGATCCGTCCCCTCTAATAACAGAGGGGTGGGGTGTGGGCCTTCTCCTGTCTTGTAATTGGCTCGTTCTCCAGGAAACGTCATGATTGACGTCTCAGATAACTGTCCATCATGAAACGGTAGTTTCCTCAAAGGATGCAGAAGTCAGACTAATTTTTTCCACGCAACGGAATCATGGCAAGGGGGTAAGTTCTGAAAGCAAAATGAAGAAGATACAAGAGAACAACCTGTCTTTAAAAAGTTTTTCTTGAGTTCTTTTTAATGCATGCGTCTTATTGGTGGAGAAGTGACACTTTCAGGTTCTTTTCGACCTTTTTAAGACACTGACTCCCTTCAGGACAGAACTATTTGATGTAAACAATAGCTACACTGTAACACGACACTGGCGATGGTTTGTGTTCATAAGGTGACAATTATTCTGTTTGTTGGAGAACCAACAGCTGTTCTCGGTGCAGATTACAGGTTTGGACAGTGGATAACAAGTGGATGTTGTTTGTTAAAAGTAGAGGCTGATGTTTGTATGTGCGTGCAGCGGGGTCTGGTAGTGATTAGTGGAGTTATACAACAGAACAATCAGGACATAGTTTACTAGAACCAACATCTGCTGCAGTAAAATTCTGTAGCTGATCTGCCTTGTGAGATTCATAACTGTGCCCAAGCTAAATTAAGAACAGAGGAGTTTCTGTCTCAGTATGAGCCCATTCCTGTCACTTGCTTCTTACTCAACTTTTTTTCCCTGAATGTGTCACTCATCTGCACTGTTTATATGGCCGGAAGGCAGTGTCAGCTATTGTAATGTTTGAGATACTTTTAATTGCAATGCCCTTTTTTTTAATGTGCAGAATGGTGATATTGGGCAGATACAAAAATTTCAGAGAAGGGGCACTAGAAAAACTTCATAAGGATATGGAGTTTCTATCTCATATTATAATTAATGCATAGAGCCACAAAGGTGTAACTTAATAATGGAGGACATGTGGTCATTGTATGGAGCCGACGTTATCCCCATTGGTCTGACAGTCTCTGCTGGCATTGTGTTGTCCAACAAAAGAAAACACCAGAAGGCCTCAAGTGGCTGTGCGGGCTTCAGGCAAGACTGTTTAAAAAAATGCAAATTACAGCTTTTCTAGGGGATATGTCGCCTGTGTATTAGAATCTAAGAGCAATGTTGACCAGATTTCAATGTAAAGATGCACATCCCTTACATTCATGAGTTCTTTTGTGCACCAAGATCAATTTAAGTGATATACTTAAATGGAAAAGATCAATAGAATAGTCTGTGCGGATGTTGAGTCTCAAATTTGCAATATTCAACACAATTTAGCATGTTTTAGAGTTGCTCAGCCCTGAATTAAATACTGGGATGTTTTAAACACTGTATTTAGTCCCGTCCTGCATGTGTTTTTATACTGTTTTATTTGCAGAGACTTTCAGATTTTTGCCACCGCAGCATCAAATAAAATCACATTTGTGAGCTGACCCTTAACTTTCAGATATTTCAGATAGATTAGCATTACCCGTCCAAAATTACAAACAAGACACATGTTAAAAAATCAGTTTGATACTGGTTTTTCAAGATCTCCTGAGCCACAGGATGAGTTTGTTAGACAGGGATGGTTGTGGTTTTGTAGATTACGGAAACTTCCTGTTAAATAGAGTTATCTGAATGAGTAAATCAAGCAACACAATCTCACAAAAGGCTACCAAGATGAGAGGAGGGGAGCACGTGTTTGATTCTTTTAACTGCTAAATTAATCAGTGGCTGAAAAAAACAAAAAAACTTCCATACTCGTACTGGCTGTGAAAAACTGTGAAAAACAGACACACTTCCCCTTCATCATTAATTCCTCCCAGTGTATAATCACATCTAACTTCACTTGTAGAGTACAGTAGATGCTGTTGATATTTTAATGTGTAGGTTTATCAAAAGCTGCTGCTGGAAAAGATCAAGCAGGTCAGTCAAAAAAAAGGTTGGCTCACTGTCCTACGGGGACACTTGAGAAGAACGTTGCCATCATTAATTTCATCAGAAACACCTGTGTTTGTCCGACTTTGACAAGTCAAAATGTCTGCTGTGAAAAATGCTTGTTGTCACTGACTTGTCTCTCTGAAGAGCAAAAAAACAAAACAAAAACAACCTTCTTAGAAATCTTTTTTATTTAATTATTTTATTTTTTTCAATTAGTAGTTAGTCACAACCTTAGTACTACTTAATTCACTTTGTTTGTTGTCTTTGCCTTTTCACAGTCAACAGGCCGACCAGGAGCTCACTGAGGTGCTGAACCAACTCTGGCAGCTGGATACCAACCGCCTCAGGCCGGGGACTGATTACATCATTTCCCTCCAGGTCAGTACTTGAAGTCTGCCATCATTGCTTCTATGCAATGCAAAACTTTCAGCCAAAGATAAAGGTGTTATTTGCAAATCCCATCTGGACCAAAAGCCATAGAGCATAGAGCTTCACATTGTGGTGTCGCTGTAGCAAAAGTAATCTGACAAAACGCTAGCATGCTAATGTTTACCAGTTAGCATGCTACAAACATCCATTTGTTCCCAATTAAGGACTCAGGGAGTGCATATATGTTGTACATATAGACCCACATATACTGTAGAGAAGAAATCTATTTCTTTAAATTATATCTTATAGACTGATTATACATGTAATGGACTGCTAATACATGCTCTTATCATTATATAACAACGATTGGATGGATTGCCATGAAATTTTGAACAGACGTCCATGGTCTCCAAAAAATGAATACTACTGACTCTGGTGATCCCTTGACTTTTCCTCTAGCATCACCAATAGTTTGACTAGTAGTAATATTAGAAGTAGTAGTTTGACCAAATTTTGTATTGACCCTCCCTGCATGTGTATTTACACTATGCTTGCTGAAGACTGTCTGTCCATGTGTTTTATTCAGGGACGGGCAGGTTATGTGGCTCAGGGCAGTAACTATGCCAGAGACAAAGCCAGTGCTCCACTCTTCGCATATGTCAACGAAGACAAAGTCAAGAGTATTGAAACATTTGCACGTAAGTATCATAAGTAGCAGTTCATGCCAAGTTTTTCCCATTACGCTTCTCTGTTGCTAGAACCATGTTTCTACACTTTTAACAAGCACATGTCCTTTATATGCAGATTTCATCAACTTGCTGGACAACTATGAGATGTCCACAGGTGTGTCAGAGACGGTCACTTCAGAGGAGCTTCAAGAGAACAGGCTGTTTATCAATTCCATAGTGGAGACAGACGTCATGAAGGTGCAGTAACATTAAGAGAGGGAGTCATCTCTGAAAAACATCTGTCATCATAAACTCTAACGATCAAACACAATTACAACACACTGATCCTACATAGCAGCTGTTTACACAGTTGTTCTCCAGCTGTTGTTGACCAATGAGCTTGAGGATTTGAAGTTAATGTGAAGGTGACATCCTAGAAGAGCAAATATCAGCCATTACAACTAAAGAACTATAGATTTGGATTGTAACAATAACTCTGTAGTTAATGTAGTTTACTTAACTTAATAAATTGCTCATTAATAAGAATTTAAAGCCCAAAGTATTACTTGTTAACAAAACAATCCCGAAACAAAGTCCAGGCTTTTACACTTATCACTTGATTTTCACTTAACACAAAATGTTGAACTTGAACTAAGGATATCTCATCTATGTTGGCTTGAAAGTTCATCCTTGACCTTAGAGACAGTAGAAAGGTTTAGAATTGTTCCCAAGGTCACGAATGAACTTTCAGTCTCAAATGTAAAAATGTTTCAGCCTGACAAACTGTTAATTGTCTAGTTGCAGTATACTGTCTTTCTGTTGTATCTTTGACCACATTTGTCACGTCTGAAAAGTCTTTATATGTTGTTTATTTTGTTTCTTTACAGTGTGCTCACAAGTATCTGGTCAGGAAGGGGCAGTCGCCATCAGACCCTTCGCAGTTCAAGAGACAGCTGTATGACATCTGGTTCCGCCTCTACCACAGGGAGAGGGGTGGAGGGTGAGTTTCACTGTAACAGCAGGGGGAGCTACTGCAGTATGTACAGAGACTGTACAAAGAAAGAGCACTGTTTTAATCATGTACAGAATGACTCATAGAGGTCGGCCATAACCAGCCTGAGTACTGGTTTTGTGCAGATGAACCAGCTGACATGGAGACTGATGCATTTCTGACCCAAGAATCAATAAAGAATAAAAAAATATATATATATATACATGAATAAATACAATGATTCAGCGTTGTATTTACATTTAAACCCCTGTGTTGTAATAATAAATTTGATTGTATTGATTAATCTTCACTGTGTGGAGCTAATCAATTTTGTTACTTTTATTGACATGTTATATTTGCACATTTTTAAGATTTGACTGTTCTTTAAAAGAGAGTAGGAGGTTGTTGCATCTTTTAGTTCTATCTTTTGTTTAAGCAGCAAAGAAAAACAGTAGATAAGGGGGGAAAAGCTGTAATAGGACAAATGGAGACTTAATTAACCTGTCGATGAATATATACTGACTTTATTTTCATTACAGTGAAGATTCCTGTGGATTTGAACATGTGTTTGTTGGAGAAACCAAATTCGGCCAGGAGATCATGGGTCTTCACAACTGGGTCCAGTTCTACCTGCAGGAAAAACACGGCCATGTTGACTACAAAGGTTACAAAGCAAGAGACAACAAAGATACAGTAAGAAAATACTGTTACTTTATGCATGTGAAAAACAAACTGAACGTAAGTATGAGTTCCTTAATTAACTTTATTTGTTATTGTTTTATAGCCTGATGAAGACGACCATGTCCTGAACCTGCAGTTCAGCTGGAAGGGCTTGGTGAAACCGGTTGGCGGCTCCTTCATTGGTGTTAGTCCTGAGTTTGAGGTCGCTCTCTTCACCATCATCTTCCTCATGTCAAGTTCGAAGATGACGTCTGTAGTAGTAAAAGTGGACGAGTACATGCTGGAGCTGGTTGTGTATCGGCATGGGCGATCAATTGGCACATCTTACCCTAAACTGCTCAGCAGCAACAACAGGGATTTGTAATACTTCGTTTCTCAAGCTGTCAACTGTCCTGTAGCATTTACATGTTGACTTAATTTGCATGCAGTATAATCTCAAAACAAACCTGGATCAGGTTCTCTTTGCACTAAACTTCAGGCTTTAACTATCTATAACAAGCACAGAGGTTTTAGCCTAAACCTCCTGATCTGGATTCATGTAAGGAATATAAATTGTTATTAAACGCATTTGTTGAATTAATAAAACTGTCTTTGTTTATGAACTCATGTTTGCATATTATTCTCCCCTGTTATTTGGAAAATAGAAATTAGGCCAGAGTTGACAAGATTTTATATATATACTGTATATGTATATATATATATATATATACACACATACAATATAATAGTTTTTTTGCCCAGATTTTGGTCTGGCAGGGAAGATATCCTCACAGGCAGCAGTTATTGAGTGCTGAAATAAAACTGAATGTTCTAGCTTTTTCCCAAAGTACCATTAACAACAATAATACAATTTTTTACTAAAACAACAACTTGGCAGACCTGCCATAATTAGCTGACAGCACTATCAACTGACTAATTGGGCATTAACTGATTGTAAAAGGGAAGAAATGGTGCTTGATATAGCTTTATTATTATTGGGAACACGTTTTCCAAAATTCTGACTGAATAACTTTCAGAAATTATTGTGGGAATTTACGACTGATTTTTTTCTGCAATCAAGGAACAAACTGGGTGTCACAGCTGCCTGGAAGACATAACGCAGGGAAGTTTCAAATAACTGCCTTGGACGCTCCCTCGCTTTGCGCATGCGTATTCAAACAAACCCATTACCATGTCAAACCACAGAAATGAAACAGTTCTTGTGGAAACTACCAGATGAAGTGGTGAATTGGCAGGTAAAAAAAACACAGGCTTTTCAAGCTAGATAAAATTCTCTAAAATACCAGCACTGACCGTGATAATCGACTTCTTGCTCACAAATAAACTTTTTGAGTTAGAGACAAGAAGCATGACTAGCTAACGGCTAGCCGCTCAGCTAATGTAACCGTCAGTTGGCAGCTCGCTGTCTGTTTGGGAGCCACCTGACAACGGCTCACATGATCTTAACTACTGCGACCAGCTCCTGCCGACAGCAGGAGAAATATTTTTTTTAATGTGTTTGTGTTTTAGGTGTCGTTTGGATCACTGGGGTGTCGCCGAGGGGCTTGTTAAACAACAAGCCAAAACAACAAAAACAACAACAGCAACACCAATATGTTTGGTAAAAAGAAGAGAGCACCACAGCCCAAAGGCCAGGGCGCTGCTGCAGCCAAGCAGGTAAAAACAACTCCGATAATATTGGATAAGAGCAGCGGCTGGGGAATTACTCACATCCTTTACAAAAGTAAAAGTGTCACTACACCACTGTAAACACTATTACTATCATCACAAGTAAAAGCCCTACCTAATTAAAACCGCAGAAGCATTATCAGCAATACGTACTCAAAGTAGTTATTTATCGTTTAATAAACAGGGGCAGTACACGATACACATATTGTACCAGATACAGCTAAAAGCTAAATTTCACATTGTGATTCGCAGATTGCAGAAATACAAGTCAGTTGTGGTGAATCGAAACTTTATCTTGAAACACAGACACAATAAAACACAGTAGGAATAATTAAAAATCAAAACAACCCCAGAAACAAACAACAGAGAAACAATATTCGTTTACAACCAGTGAGTATACCATCGCCATGTTTCAGAGGGCAGGTGTATTGTGAACTATACTGAAGTTTTACCATGCGTCTTTGTTTACGGTGGGAAAATTCTTTTGGATATGACTTGAAAAATTCAATAAACAGTTATAAACAAGTGCTCGTTTTGCAGAAGAGTGACCCCTATCAACAATTCTGTCAATATATTTTTTTTTATTACATATTCGAGCAGCACTGTATTGTTCATTCAAGGTGGAGCTAGTTTTAATTACTATATGTGCAAATTGAGTAGATTAGTCCAGTGGTTTCTGACATAGAGGTTGGGCCCCTTCAAAGCATCACAAGATTGAACTCACTGGAGTTGTGAGATGATTAATGGGGTAAGGAAAGTTTATCTTTTGCTTCCTGGTTTCAGATGGGTCTGTTTGTAGACCTGGACCCTGAGGAGATGATGATGGGTATGGAAGAGAATCTGGATGACCCGGACTTAGAGGCTGAACTTGCTGCTATAACTGGAAATAAACCTGCTGCTAGAGGGAGAGCCAAGCAGAAGGGGAAGAGTGAGTGCATTGGTTATGATTTCTAATCCTAAACAATCCCTTTAAACAGTCAGTATTATTTTCCATGATTGGACTAATATCCGCATGAAGCTGAAGGTCAGGTCTGAGGAGCTTTTCACTTGTATGTTAAGTTGTATTGTCCCATGGAAGGTAAATGAGATCAGAGGTCTGTGCAGACCAGTCAAGTTCCTTGACACCAAACTGGTTTTTACATGGGGTTTTGGGAAAAGTCCTTCCCCAAACTCCCACACAAAACTGTTATCTTTTCCATATTAAAAACCTTCTTTATTGCTTGATGAAAAGTATGACATCACATTTGTCAGGTACAGAGGAATCAGCACTTGAAACACTGCAGATTGCACTGTTGTGAGTCCTTTGCGAGTTACAATAGACACATGTTTTTCTTTTGGCTATAGAGAACATTATGATACGATTATGGTTCTAAAAACTTCCTGCAACAATGTGTTTCTGCATATTTATTGTCCTGGGAAAGTGGTTATGTCTTATCATGTGATATGTTCTGCCGTTGTCACTTGTAAACTCACTTGGATATATGACTGTGTGTTTGTGTTGTAGGCCCTTTGCCCATGGAGGACATTGCTAAAATGGCTGATGAGTGTATGAGGGATGTTGATGAGGATGAAGATGAGGATGATGTGGAAGACGACGAAGATCTGTTGGTCAGTGTTTGTGTATATTCATCTCTGCTCTCATAACGGGGTTTGTGTCAGTTTCAGTTCAGGTTTAGATTTCAGGATTCTGGACAAGGAGACCATTGTCCAGACACAAGTTTTAAATTAACTAGAATCAATTGCAGTAGCTGTACAAACTCGGTGCAGACATCCAACAAATGTGTTCTATTAATGGTTAAGCCCACAGAAATGAAACTGACTCCATTATAACATGTAAGAAACATTATAAGCTGCAGCAAAACCAGCATTTATTCAGTGCAAAGTTGAGCTGCACAGATGTACATGTCTTAATAGCTATAGTAACCATTATAGATCCACCTGATTACTGGAGGACAAAGAAAAGACATTTGTTTGTTCTATGTACTATAATGCTGGAGACAATCCTGAGCAAATACTGCAGTAACTGTGATAGCAATCTGTGCCAGCACATTTTACCATTCACACATTGTGGTTCAACTAGGCTGTTGATTGATTGATTTGTTGGTCTTAATTTCACCTGCATATTTAGGTTTACAGAACTTTCACTACAGCACGATTTACCAAACTGGCTAATGGAAAACGTGTGTCACTCTCGGTTCTCTGAAAACCAGCCGTAGCTGAATAAGAACAGTCAATGTTGGCTGTTGATCAGTTGCTTTATTTTTCCTCATCAGGCAGAGCTACAGGAAGTGGTGGGTGAGGGGGAAGCTGAGGATGTTGCAACTGTTTCCTCCACATCTTCTGCTGCTGTTGAATTTTCTCAAGTTGAGGTACAACACGTGCTGCTCTCTGCCAGCCATCACACTGACACTAAAATCATGTCACCAAAATTCATGTTAGTTGGCATCATTTTTTGTCTGCTGGTAACGGGAAAGGGCAGACGTGTTTGTCCTCTTTCCCTGCTGCAGCTTTACAGAATCATCTACCTCTTTATATTTTAAACTCTGCCAATTTTGATTTTTTTTTTATATATATAACTACCTCAAAACAGTAGTTGTTTACCTGATTATATGACAGGTAGAATAGATGCACTTGAATATTTTCCACTATTGCTTGTAAATCTATGCATTCCTGTAACCACATTTCCTGATGCTTATTCCATCTGTGTTTCAGTCGACTTAAAAAGCTTCGAATCCTTAATGTATTTTAAACAAGTGATTAAAAGATGAGATACAGATGTGCAGAAATGGCAGTTAGTATTGAATTTCGTTGTATTATTGATCTCTGACAAATACTTTCCTATCTCAAGCTGCCGTTTTTGCATGAGTAATTTCTTGACCTGACATAGATGTACCAGATGTTGACAGCATCTACCTCTTGTTTTGGTACTACACTTGTGAAGAAGCAGGAAGTAATGATCTCCTCAGCGGCTCCTGGCAGCCTCCAGCACACCCTGGAGGAGAGGGTGGCCATGTACAAGACGGCCTTACAAAATGCCAAGAGTGCAGGGGAGACTTCCAAAGCCAGGAGATTCGATCGAGGTTTGAAGGTGGGTGAGACTACTGCCTGATGAGAAGATATATACTCAAAGTGCAAAATTACAGTAGTGCTTTCGCAATAAGTTATTGTTATAAAATGGGATTGGTTTTTTGATTTTGTGAAATAAGATTTGTTGTATAAAGTAGCAATACGGTCTATTTACAAAGTGAAGTTTCTCGTTGAAATTACTCTTGAAATACTTACGAATGTTTGTTGGGGACTGTTTTCAGCTGTGAGTGAATACTTATTTATTAGTGAGTGAGTGAGTGAGTGTTTCCTGTAAAAAAAAAAGTACATGGTGTGTTCATGGTAATTAAGGAACATGTCACCCAGTGCAACACCCACAACACTGATGAGATTTGAATTGTTTTAGGACAAAATGAGCAACAAATGAGCTCTATGACACGATGAGATATCAGGACTTGGCTGCACATTTAATACTCGTTAGAAATACAGTGATATAGTGTCGCGTGTGAAAGTCTTTCGTTATTTGTAATATTTTATGATTTCTTTAGTATCTCTGTTCTGTGTATTTCAGTGGCTAAAACATCTAAAAGTAATTTTGCATCTGGTAGATTTGTGGTTGAGACATATAACTCACATACGTCACCACTATGTAAATGGTTGGATTCCAGATGCAGACTTTTCTTGCATATCATACCTCTGTCCATTTACTATATTTTTTGTCTGGATCTACACTGTAAGATTTAAAGGCAAAATGCCAGAAGAAAAAAAACTGTCAGCTTGAAAAGCAGTTTTCAATCTGAAAACAGCTTCCCAATCAGAGCTGAAGACTGTATGTAAATTCTATGAGCAGCACTAAACATGCCCAAAAGCTACAGATTTGTAGAAACACGAGAGACAGCCTGTCTTTTGGAATGCATTTGTCTGATCACACGGTTTAGCTCCCTGGAGGACTTCATGCTGTTTGTCATCTTTAAATCAATTCTCAGATTTTCATTTCCATTATATAAAATAACATGCGCACATTGTGCATGCCCGCTTGCACACTTTACAGTTGTGTTTTTAATTTGTCTGGATTGAACTGCAGTGATGCTTTATTTATTGAACGTTAAATACTTCTCTGTATTCAATGATAGTGACTGTTACTATTGCTCGCTCCAGACTTTGGAGACGATGTTAGCTGCTGTGAAAAAGGGGAGGCCTGTGAACGAGGCAGAAATCCCTCCTCCTGTCGCCACTGGAGCCTCCGCCCCTCGGCCCGCTGTTCCTGCACGACCTGCTCCCCCTGTACCCTCGCGTCCTGAATCCACTCCCTCAGATCAGCAGGAGGAGTCAGAGGCCACAACATCAACGCCTTCAGTACCAGAGATCGTCACGCCCACCAGTGAAGAGGAGCAGTCGTCATCCACCACTGCACCCGGTCTGAGCAGCGTCCCATCTCCAGAGGAGCAGAGAGAGGAACCTGCCGACCTGCTGCAGACCACTCAGACGGATGGTCAGTTTGTCTTGGTTTACACAGTTATATCAGTGATAATAGTGGTTATTAGAGAAAGTAAGCTCTTGGTTAGACAATTAAAAGCAGGAAATATGTTTTAACTGCAACTGCACCAACACTTTGTCTCAGTGCACCAGTCACAGCAAAGCACAAACAACCACAGTCATCTGTCCGCTGTAATGCCTCGGCTACCACGTGCTCACATTAAAGCTATAAGTTAGAAACTACAAACACACTTTGAAGATGGTCAAAAGATGAGCCACGGGGATTTGTAACAGCAATATTTGGTCCCTGACAACATAATATTTAATGCTGAAATGATCAGTTGATTAATGAATCACTCGATTAACGAATTGATAATTAGTTATTAGATAATTCTTTCTTTTTCAGTTTAATATCATAGAAGACTGTCTTTTGGACTGTTGGTCAGACATAACAAAACATTTTATCATGTCAACTTACGATGTAGAATTCCTTCAAATAATTGATCACTCAAGTAAATAATCACAGATTTATTGATTAGTTTCAGCCTTAACATCACAGTGGGTGATTTAAAGGTGTAAACGTCACTGTATTGGTTACCAAAGGTTGTCCATCATAGCAAAAGTAAATAAGGCACGCTGATGCCTAGGATTGGTAAATACCAACAGGGACTTGTGGAATTTTTATTTGGTCAATTTTTTTGTCCTAAATTAGAGACCGGTTGGGTATATTTTGGTACAATTGGCAAAATTACAATCCACAAGTAAAACTTTTTTTTCTGTAATGATTTTGCACTTTGTTTTCCAGCACATATCATGCATATCATACACTGACACATTGTAATAAGAATTAAGTCACAGCCAATGGAAAATCTTGGCTTCCTCATATTTATTGTGTATAAGTACTGTATATAAGATATTCACTCACTGAGGAATTTGTTCTCACACATAAATTGGTTTAGTTTTAATCTTTTTGCTTGGAGGTAGATAAGTTAAATGGTTGAGGTGGAGAGATTGTGTTATTTAAAAAGTTGCTTCTGAATATCTAATAAATGTGGCCTTTCTCTGTGGAACTTGTTGTGTATCCTGTGAATCCACAGCCAACGAGGCAACCAAGACGATGCTTTTGGAGAGGCAGAAAGAATACAAGATGGCGGCTCTGAGAGCCAAGAAGCAGGGAGATGTGGAGCAAGCTAAACTTTACTTCAAGACCAGCAAGGTGAGTTACACAACTACAGACTTTGGCGTTTTGTTTAAAACAAAGATAGTGTTTCATGTGCAGAAATGTTTTGCATACTATCTGCTGGTCTTGAAAAGTCTCAAATAAGCCTTACACTTAAGTTACTGAAATCTTAAATATTTTCTGTCTTAAAAAGTCTTAACTTCAACTTGGTGCACTCTGCAGGAGTCCTGGTATAAATATGAATCCTACTAAAAATGTGTTTTTTCTGGTGTGTGCCATCTCTTCATCCTTAGTTTATATTATGGTTTTAGCACAATGTCAGGAAGCTAATGTAAAAGGGGAAATGTACGTAATAGAAGTCCAGTAGACTAATGTGTAACTGCCTTGTAGAATCTGGACCTGGAGGATTTTTTATTTTTGTAATAAAGAAAAATGCATAAAAAAAGCATATGATACAATTTCTATTTGTTTTGAGCCAAATAAATAGTTTCAGTTCTTTTTACAGTTCTTTTTATACATGCAACCTGTATAATGAAATTGACAACATACAATATCAGCAGGATAAATCACTAGACACTTTTCCTCATTATTAAATAAAATGTATCGACGCTGAACTACAACTGTTCCTTGATTGTGTCTGTTACATTTCATGTACCTATGTATCACTCTGAACTAAATACAGTCTGTTGCTTCACATTCTGACTGCAAGATTTCTCAAGTATGTGAAACATGCCAACAATTTGGACGCTGACAAAGACCATCATTATGTTGGACACTGTTGGGATTTGTTGTATTTTTTTGGTGCAGAGGTTCGACGCAGTGATTGAGGCGTTGGAGAAAGGACAAGCAGTCGACCTGAGTGGCCTTCCTCCATCTCCAGGACAGGGTGAGGAACCCTGTTATGTCATGTTTTTATTTTAGTAACAGGCTGGCAAGCAAACATTATTTATATAGGGCTTTTAAAAACAAAATTTAATTGGACTGCTTTACTTTTCCAAGGGTGAGGTACAGTGTTGTAAACAGAAACCTGCAGTATCTGTTGCTGTGTGATACAGTTCATCTCATGTTATTGTGTCATAGGTTCAGGAGGAAGCTCTGCTCCAGTGAAGCAACTTTCTTCTGGGCAAAACACACAGGTCACCCAACCGGTTGCAGCAGTTCCAGGTAATAATAATTCCATCATTTGTGTAGTAACCACATGAGCTTGTGTTGTTGAGGGGGCGAAGTGAAGTTTCGTTTTGACCTGTCATGTAGTGCTGTTTCGAGTTCCTTCTCACGTCTCTTAACAGTATTTTTATCAGTCAGCTAATGTCACCTTGAGCTTTACATAAGAGGTGACTTAAAAGACGTGGAAACACACTGCTTGTGTTGTGCACAGCATGTATAAGCATGTCTACAGAGACTGTTTGTCTGATAGAGAATTTGTTTAAAAACTGCAAACAACAATACACCAAAACTTTACACGGCAGATGATGAATGATAATGATAATTTGGATTTGTGAATAGAAAAGAAAAAAAAGTGAATAGAACAAATGGAAATTCAAAACCAGTTGACAAAACAAATTTTCCTACAACAGAAGGAGACCAACGTACCATCATGAACAGACTTTGTCTATATTCATCTGTCACACACCAGTAGACAATGGTAAAGCATCAAAGCTTGATACCTTTTGAATTCCAGCCAAATTGCGTCCACAGTACTGAGTCAGAGTCTTATTTATTTATTCTTCACTAAGATACTTCCTGGTCGAAATCATAATATTGTATCATATTTTTGTGCCAAATGTTTTGTACAGACAAAACAGCACTGATGCATTTCAGAACATTTAAAACAATACTCAAGCTCAGAGTTACATCAGTATATGTTTAGTTTTTCTGATTGGATTAGTTTTTAGGTAAAATCTCAAAACAAAACAAAACATATGTGGAGAAACTATTAGATTGTTAACATTGTCTCACTTTCTCAGCCCCTGCAGCCCCATCAGCCCCTGCAGCTCCCAAAGACGTACTGGAGGCTCTCGAGCAGAGACGGGCAAAGTATGTGGAGGCGTCGGCTCAGGCTAAAGCCAGCGGAGACGACCGCAAGGCACGAATGCACGACCGCATTGCTAAGGTACACTGAGACTAGACTCTCCTGGTGATATCCTTTAGAGAGCAGAAATGAAATAGTTGTGAGCAGGTTTAGTCCTTCTGTTTATCTCTGAGTTGGTACAGGTATCATAAAAGAGAATAAAGCTGCCACTGTTATCAGAATGGTTTTCTTTTCTTTCCAAACCAGAGATTATGCAACACTTAAAATATCAATTGATTATCGACTAACTAATCGACTAATTGTTTCAGCTCTATGTGAATTATAGGTCAAGTTTTGTTGAACAGGGAAAAAAGCGCAAAGACAGAGAGAAAAGGATCAATCTTTTAGCTGCTGTTTAGTTCTTTTACATATAACAGTTAATAATAACAGTTAACAGTGTTGCAGAGAGTTGTCATGTTAATAATGACATTGACCCCTCAAACTATGCATGGATGAGAACAACCAAAATACTGTTGCATTACCTCTGTTGTCGTAAACCATTTAACGTCTCTCCTCCTGCAGCAATACCAGAGCGCCATCCGAGCTCACAAAGCAGGAAAAGCAGTCGACTTTGATGAGCTGCCAGTTCCCCCTGGTGAGATTCTTTTTTGATTCATGTTTTTGAGTTGACAGTATAATTTTCGAGTTACTTGTAGCTCTGTGAAATTGGATTTGCATTGTGTTTAATGCTCTGTAGTCCCGTGGTGTTACTTAAACTATATAACAACACATTGAGTCTCTGTACCAGTGCCACAAGACATGTTTTTGAAGTTGACCAAAAGATAAAAGTAAATCTAAGGTGTAGTGTTTAAGGTCTCTTAATCCAAGTCAGAATGAGCATTTTGTTTTTATTCCACAGGCTTTCCTCCAATCCCTGGCCACAAGGCAACAGGAGCTGAGCAGGGATTCGTTGCTGCTCTGGAGGCAGCCAATAAACTCGCCTCTGCTGATGCTGCTGGAGCACCAGATGAAGAAGATGATGAGGAGAAAGAAGAGGAGGTGGCTGTTTTACATGATCATTTTTCTGAGGTCTCTCTGGATAAATTGTTGTTACAGTGTCTTGTGTCTGTCGTAGTCGAAGCCTGCTGTTCCAGAAGAGCCAAAGAAGGTCACGTTAGACGTCTCCACTGCAGGTCAAGGACGGAAAAGGACTCCTTCAGCTTCACCTGAAAGATCAGCTGCTAGGGATGGACTCTCGCCAACAGGTCAGTTTCAAAAGTAGAGCAATACTTACCTGATCAACAGAACATTAATCACCTCTATTCTTAAATCAGTAAAAACTGTTTCAGTCATTTTTAAAGCAAAAATGCCAAATATTCTCCAGTGTCAGCTTCTTAAATGTGAAGATTTGTTGCTTTTCTTTATTTTACGTGACTCTAAATTAAAAATATTAAGCTTCAGGACTCTTGGTCGGACAAAACAAACAAACTGAAGACATTACTGTGGGCTCTTTTTTCCTTTCAGAGACTAAACAATTAACCTAATAATTCAAGAAAATATATAATCAATGAATTAATCACCAGAACCATGGATGATTAAAATAATCCATCAAATCTTATCCTTGTAAACAGAGTAAGGCAGCTGATTTTATCCGTATGAAGCATCTCTGTAGAGATGAACCTGATGCCCACTCAAAAATACAAGTAATTGTTTAGGAGTGTTTCAGCTTCAATTTTCTTTCTGTCTTTGTCCTCCAGCTGTTCAGCAGCTGGAGTTCCTGGAGGGTCGGAAGAAGCAGTACATGAAGGCGGCGCTGCAGGCGAAGCAGAAGAACGACATGGAGCAGGCCAAGGTTTTCCTCCGCACCGCCAAAGGCTTCGACCCGATGATTGAGGCAGCGCGCAGCGGGAAATCTGTGGACATCAGCACGGTGAGCAGAGAGTAGATTTACTCTGCTACTGGCAGTATATGTTTTGTTTTCAACTGGATCCTTTAATGGTTTACAGGTAGAAATTGACCTTATTCATATCTATCAGTAGACACTGCATTATTTTCTGATCAATGTTTTAGCCCAGGATAGAGCAAACTGTTTGGTCGCACCAACATATACAACAAACTTTATTTGTTGTATATGTTGGTGCGACCAAACACATCAAGAAAATGAACTGAGATCGTCGTGGAGATGAGGTGTACTGACAGTGCTCCTATTCCTCAAAACATGAACAATGGTTGATGGGAACACATGGCGCCCCACTGTAGCTGACCATGTCTGTGCCATGGTCTGTGCTGTGCCTGCAGGTGCCGTCGCCCCCTGGTGACGAAGACGACGACTTCATCCTGGTTCATCACAGCGACGTTCAGATCTCGGAGAAAGCTGAGCAGGTTTACACACAACTGGCCAAGATCCTCAAAGAGCAGTATGAGGTAAAACTGCAGGATTAGGGCCGGAACATTATTTCTGATTACAGGTTAAAATGATGTTTATCAAAACTTTTATTTTGAAGAAAATCTATATTATTGTTAAAAACAAATTCTCTCAACATTTTGACTCTTGGACCACAGTTCATGTTTTGTCACCTCCCTGGGGAAATGTGGTCATTTTAACAAACTGATAATAAAAGTAACCATATAATAGAAACAGGATTTTTTGAAACTGAACATTATAGAAATATACAATACTGAAAATTTCTACACATCAATTATATGGGGATAAAATATGGATTACAACATATTAGGGTTTACAACAACAGACTTAACATAAAAACAGGACTGTCTTTTACTGTATCAAGTCTCAGCACAAATCTGAAAACAGGTTTAAATAAATACCTGTGATGTCTATTGTTATTTTCAATTTTTTTTTATTTTGAAATGATTTATTATACAAGTAAATGTTTTTAAATGTGTGTGCATGTATACTCTGCCAACACCATGACAATTTCCAATTTTAGAATTTCCATTGCCAGGAGAAACTTGAATCTCTCTAAAAACCCAACATTTTTAACTCTCTGATATATTTAGAAATCTCAAAATTAATTCACATCCACAAAAAGTTTATTTTTTCTGTTCCCAGTCTGGTTTCTCTGCACTGATTGTGAGTCTCCTGACTCTCCTCCTTTTAGAAATGTATGACTCACTCCAAGCAATTCACACACCTGGGGAACGTCTCCGAAACTACAAAGTAAGACTCCTGTGTCACTCACAGTTTTCATTCAGCTTAGGTTTATATACAAACTCCAAGCTCAGGTATAACACTGGAACTGGCAACAACACTCTGTGTCCACTTTATTAGTAGTAATTTCTATGCTTTGATTATTTTGGCTTCCTGATTAGTTACATCTAAATCTTAAAATACACAGTGAACAACAGCAGCATGATGATACAAAAAAAAAAAAAAAATGACCATGTTGCGTTCACTGACTCTGTGTGCTGGCATTTGTATCCTCCAGGTTTGAGAAGATGGCGGAGAGCTGTAAGAAGAGTCTGGAGGTCCTGAAGCTGGCTCAGTCGAGGGGTCTGCCTCCTCCTAAACATCACTTTGAAGAGAGATCGTTTCACACTGTCAGGTGGGCACGTTCAGGAAATCTGACATAAATTTATTCTGTGAAAGTTAAAAACTGTGTTGTGTCATTAGTTGTTAAGGTAGAAAAACATTTAAACTAGCACTGGTGTAGAATAAGAAGTGGCATGTTTTGTTATGTATTTATAATATTTGAAAGTAGATGTTTGATATATGGTATGTTAATAACTCATCTGTTGCACTGAGGCACAAGCTTTTCTTTCATTTTTTTTTCTCAAATATGAATGAAGCATATCCTGTACAGTTGTATGCAGCAACGTTTTTACAACAGGATGATGCAAAGCAGAGCTCAACATCCACCATGAACTACTTCAATAAACACAAGCTGAAGGTTTTGGAAATTCTGTTGATGGATCTTAAACATGTGCCTAAAAATATCTCAGAACTTGACGTGATCTGCAGGAAGACTAGAGGAAAATTCCTAAATCAAGAATATATAGACTCTCAGCTGGTTGCAAAAAGTGTTAGCAAGCTGTGCGCTCCACCAATGAGGGGCTGACTATGTACTGACTCAGTAGGGCGCCCAAATCTTTACATGCATGCATATGGAAATGGCCCAAAGGTGTCGAAAAAAAAGACAACGCACACCCTCTCCCTCTTGTTGTTTCTGTTGTATAGTTTGCATCATTTCCAGTTCTCCAAAAAATGATTTTGCCTTGTATCAAACTGCAGGTCTAAAAGCTTGAGGACATTAAATGTAAAATTTTAAAATATTGTAAATAGTAGCTCTTCTCCAGAGCAGATTGACAGTTATCTCTGGTGATTGTTTTCTTTGCTGATGCAGTTTTGTTTCCGTCTGTACTCCATCACTTATTAATCACTCATCATGTCTTTTTTTTCTTCTTTCACTTTCCTTCTTCTCTTCTTCCTTCCTGCTTTCCCTCCGTTTCAGGATATTTCCAGAGCTGAGCAGTACTGACATGGTTGTTGTTATCGTAAAAGGGATGAATCTTCCTGCACCAAGTGGTAAAGAGAAGAGTCTAAACATATCAGATCTGCACCGTACAATATGTCCAAACAGGGGCTGCAACTACATGGTTTTAAATACACCAAAAACTTCTGTTTTATTCTATTTAATTCCGTTTTGAAGCCTTAAAAGTTTCTGTGTTTGTTTTCAGTTTTAAGTGCCACTAAAAAAAAAAGTCTTTAAAAGTCTTACATATAAGTTGCTGTGACCTTAAACTTTCTGTCATTATGGTCGTGTTGACTCTTACAGTTTATTTTTAACCAAAAACTTCACATTCAGTTCAGAAATGAAGGTCTGGTAAAAAATAGAAAATATATAAACATTGTTGGAAAAGCACATACAGTTCGATGCTTTGTGATAAAAACTTTTCTTCTTCCCTCAGGAATCCAAACAAACGATCTGGATGCTTATGTCAAGTTTGACTTCCCCTACCCCAGCACTGTAAGAGGGTCTGTTTTCTTTTCACGGCTACCACGGCCGCTGACATGATAATCACCAATGGTAACTTTTTTTTTTTTGTTTGTTTTGTCACCACCAGGAGCAGCCTCAGAAACACAAAACAGCTGTCATCAAGAACACTAACTCCCCGGGTGAGACATGAAGATCACTGTAGGACTAAATACATACTTTTAATTTGGAACTTTATTTTCTGTCCAAAGTACTTTGTTTGCTGAATAAATGTTAGCTCTGCATCTCTTCATCTGTCATCTCTTTCAACCAGAATACAACCAGAGCTTCACGCTGTCAATCAACCGCAACCACCGCGGCTTCAGGAGGGTGGTGACGTCTAAAGGCCTCAAACTGGAGCTGCTGCACAAAGGGTGAGTCACAGACGGATCAGCTCGCTCACACCGCAGCGCGACACCCTGCCTTAGGTTTAGGACATGAATGTGAGTTCTTATTTAAAGTCAGTTCGCATGTTCTCCTCGTGTCTCCGTGAGTTTTCTCCGGGTTTTTCCGGTGTCCTCTGACACTCCAAAGATTTCTGATCACGTTGGCAATGAAATATAAAAAATAAAAAAATAAAAAGAAGTGTAATCTTACAAGTCTTCATTTAGCCTTGAACTCAACATAAAATAATCTGAATCTGGAGTCTGTAGGCGTTACTGCATCTGATACCTTTCATATGGAGGAAAAAAGAAAAGATTGAGGTTAATACTGCATCAACTACTGCTGAGGTTATGAAAACAGATGAGGTGAAGCATAGAAATGTACATGTCATTATATAAGGTAAAGAGTAAAAGAGAAGCAAAAAGGAAGACAAAACTTTAGTGTTTGTTGACAGTTACCAAAGTACGGCTACATGTACAGAATTACAGTAGCTCCTTGTACACAGTGTTGTCTGTTATTCCTTCCTCATTTCCTTCAATAACGTTGGTGGCTCTCTGTCCCCTGGAGGAGGCCGTGTGGAGCGGTAGAGTTAGACGCCAACTCGCTCATTTTCTTGTAATTATTACCTGACCTCTCTGGAGATTCGGTTCCACGAGTGAATCTCTTGTGTTTGGCGTCTTCACATCTTGCTGTGTTGTTACTGTTGTCGCTCATAATGTAAACTGTTTAATCCAATAAAAACAGTAGCAAAGTAGACCTAGAAGTGACCCCCATGCCTCGACAGTGTTACCGTACATCACGTAGTATATACGCAAGGGGAAAAAAAGAACAAAAACGACTGAACGAGAAAAACCTGGTGTCGATTGAAAGGCTTCATTAAGAAAATTGATTCCTTCAAAATGTCGTGCCCCTAGCTGCTTCCTAGACGAAGCAGTTACACAGACAGACACAAAAACCGCTCTTCGATTATAGTAGAAGGATATCAGTGTTCCACGCTGTTCTACGTGTAGAGTGAGACACCTGTCCAAAACCTTTTGTTCTGTTGGAAATATCAAGAAGTAAAATTAAAAACATTCAGATTTTACTTAAAGGATGTCCAGTGTCTCATTTCACTGTGTCACAAACGCTGTCATGCCAGGGTAAAGTGACAGTGATGTTGTTGTCGTTGTGCGTCCTCTCTCAGAGGTTTCCTGCGGAGCGACAAGCCGATTGGGACGGCCCTCGTGAAGCTGGACAAACTGGAGTCACAGAGTGAAATCAGGGAAATCGTAGAGGTGAGCGGCACTTAGTTTGAAAACGACTGGAACAGAAAAAGAACCTGGAAGAGAGAAGTCAGAGGTCAGATGTCGTTTTCAGTCCCATTTGAGATGAAAGACGCTCATGTAAACATCAGTGTTGTGTTTGTCCTGCCAGGTGATGGATGGTCGTAAGCCCACAGGAGGTCGTGTTGAAGTGAAGATCCGACTGCGGGAGCCTCTGAGCGGTCAGGACACGCAGACGAGCACCGAGCGCTGGCTGGTGATCGACCAGTCGCAGGTAGCACTAAATTCACTCTGTTGATCTTTTTATTATGTCAAAAGACAAACCTGATAATTGTGTAAAACTCCTGATGTTTTTTTTTTTTTAACTTCAAGGTTCTTCTGTAGATGAAGATTAAAGACAACTGACAAGATACAGGTAATTATTTCTACAAGTTAAATGCAGATAGAACATTATTGAACTTAAAGGAATAATTTCACATGTTGGGATTTAGACTTTTTTGCTGAGAGTTACGTGAGAAGATTGACAACACATAGAGCCAAGCCAGCTGTTTCCCCCTGCTTCCAGGCTTTATGCTAAGCTAAGCTTACAGGGTGTGGCTTCATATTTATCCTACAGATGTAGGATACAAATGCAAATGTGCATATTTCCCAAACTACTACTTTAAATGTGTTTAAGAATATGTTTGAGTGTATTTGATGATTTAATACTTTGAATTTCCAGCTGACTGATAATGTGTTTGTCTTCCAGATAAAAGGCACTCAATCAAAAACACTCAGAGGAGGAAGAGGAAGGCGTTTCAGATCTGATGAGGACGGTCTGCGGTTCAGATTGGACTCAGACCTACACGGGTCTTTGACTTTCTAAAACTTTTGCACATTTGCAAGACACACGAGCTCCCTTTCACACGGCGGTCCACCAGGAGGAGACAGGGAGCTGGTTTACGGTAGGTCAGCTCTGGCTCAGTGACATGAACCCGGAGACTGCCTCCAGTCTGAGGAGCTGCTGTGAGGTCGTGATGCCTCAGGCAGACTTCAGGGCAACAAGCTGAAGGCTCTTTGAGATTTAAGTCAGAGAAAAACAGTTTCCCAAAATGTTTTCCTCTTGCATCAGTGTGGCTCCTGGAGGACGGCAGTGTGGCCTGTGCTAATGTTGAAGGGGCTCAGTGTCGAGCTAACCTGATCCTGCTGCCCGACATGACTTAAGTTAATATAATATATCAAAGAATGTGTACATATTCCTCATATTATACAGCTCTGGTATCTAGAACTGCACCTATGCACTAATACCAAAGTAATCACTGTTGCTGTAAAATCCTGCATATTTGAAAGCGCCTTTAGCTGCCAAACCTGCGACAGTGGACGACACGAGAGGTTAATATATGTGACGAGACAGAAATTGTCAGTTTTTTTTTCTTTCTATTGTTTTCCAAACAATTCATCTGCTTCTCAGTGTGAAAACATCAGGCAGACGCAGCACCCTCACAGATGTGTTACAGGAGTAAGCCAAGAAATCAAGCTACTATACAAGGTACGATTATAGAATTATTTTAAAGACCACACTCCCTTTTTTGGCACCTTTCACTTTGATAAATCTTTAAACTGTTCTCTTATTTATCTGTGGCTTTAGGTGTGTTAGATTTTCTTTGGTCTTGTCTTGTTTACACTGAGCATCACAAATCTGAGCGAAGTTTGTGAGAAGTTTCAGTCTAAGAGAGAAAGCTATTTATTTTATCTTAAGACAGATTCATTATTTAACAGATGATTATGTTAAAAAAAGTCATTTCTAAGTACACACCATCTACTCGACCATAATATCATCCTTTTGGGAAATTCACTTAATTCATTTGATGAGCATATGAAGCTGGAGTCAGAAAACAATTAGCTTAGCTTAGCATAAAGTTCAAAAGCACACCCACCAACACCTCTGATGCTCACTGACTGACACGTTAAATTTAATATATTAAATCTGTACAGACTGAGCAGGTGAGCGAAAAAAATTTTAAACGTGTGGAACCATCTTTGAAAACTATGCATCAGTTCTGTATCTTGGGATTAATCCCTCTGTGCTTTAAAGGGTCAGTTCACCCAAATTACAAAACGAAATTTAACGAATGGTTTGTCACACATTACAATGTAGTTAAAAATAGTGGTGTATTTGTCAACAACTAACCTCTTCTGTATGCATCCAGAAGTGGAGGCAATAAAATGACAATATAGTAAAACAGTTATTATATTTTTTAAAAAGTATCATAGAAGACTGCACAGTAGAATCTAGCCTCTTCCAATCACGTTAATAACGTAGTTTGTCATTTATTTTCGGACCAATGACCAGACGAGCACGACACTGGCACTAATAGAAACTACGGCACTTAACCCATTTTTTTCCGAACATAAGTTAAAGTAAAAAACAACACAGTGAAAATATAAATTCTACTTTATCATTCAGTGAGTGTTAATTAAATAAATCACTGTTGTTTCACATTCACAGTGCACTTAACGTTACCTGTAGGTAACCTGCTACAGGTCACAGGATACAGTGTAACACTGGTGGAGGGCTGAGGCCGAGCACTCGTCTGTTTTACGTTTTCAAACTGCCTCAACTTCTTACTTCAACACAGTGGATGAACATTTAAAGTGAAAGATCCGATAAGGGATCCAAAATGTTACCTGCTGCTAGAACTCATCCCTCGCTTTAGCCTCTTTCAGCTTATCGTTTTGGTACCTACACCAAACAGCAGACACGTTCAGAGACGAGCTGGTGAACATAGTAGTTTAGCAGCTAAAGAAATATCAGATATTTCCACCAGGAGTTGGTAGACACCAAAAATAGAGCTAAAAGAGAGAACATAAATTTGTCAGAAACATTTGGCCCCAAACTGGCCAAATAAAATGTATTAATAAAGCTGTAAGTGAGAAAATTGAGACAAGATGTGATTTTTAAATAGTAATTTGAGTGAACTGACCCTTTAAAGTTTCAACTACAGCATTGTAACAAATGCTGACAAAAGAAGCCATAAACATACTGAGCCAACTACATGAATCCCATTTCCAACAGGTTTACCTCAACTCTGTCTGCAACATGATTTAGTTGCCAAACGTTAAAGTGGTCACAACATTTCGTTTCTCTTCTTTGTTGTTTTTATTCTGTGCAGCACTATTTTAGGAAAACATCATGAATCAGTGCAACTGACAACTGACATTAAGTTAACTAGAAACATTGTCCTAACTAATTAAAGCACATTGTCACCAATCATTTTACTTTGTGTTGTAATATCTGGATCACCTTCGTGTTTACAAAGATCAATGATGTCGCGTTGTATAGATTTCCAGAAACGATACGAAACAATCTCTGAAACAGAAACGAGAACTTATTTTGTTTTTAATTATGGACTGAATTTCTCCTGCTTAAAATGTTCCATTAAAAAATACCTTGTTTTAGTTTTGCACTGAAGTATTTTCTAATACTTGTTGCTTTCTTTGAGTAAAAAAATCTGATTTAGAAAAAAAATAACCACTCATTTCAATTTTCTATAAGTTTTTATTTTACATATACTACAGTTTTTTTGTTTCATAAAGACCACTTTTCTTGACATTTGTAGTGTAAAGAAAGAAAAACATGTACAGGGTTTTTGGCTTTTCAAACATTTTTGACCAATGTTTGTTTAAAAAAAAAAAAAAAAAAATTTTAACAAAACCCAGACAATGAAAACTGAAAGAGTGGGTTGTTTTCTACGTTTCATCCACAAACTAGAGGATACAACTGTTAAAATGCAAAGTTGATTTGCTCTCTTCACTGTTTTCAAGCTCGTTTCTGTTTGCATGCAGTGTTATAGGTTTGGATAGTAACATCTTACAACTGAAGACAAAAAAATAAATGCTACTTTCAGTCAGACAAATTGCACCTTTTTTTGGATTTAGGACATATTGCACACGTCAGATAATGCCAAAAATAACAATTAACATAAAACAGGGAGTCTGAGAAAATAAATCCTTGAAGTCTCCTCTTCATTTATGCTAATTTTTTTTTATAAAAACAGAACTGCTGAACGTCACACAGTGAAGACACAGTGATTCAGCGACACCAGCTCTGGTATGATCACAGTAAATTAACCCAGAACTGGTGACTTTTGACCTCAACGTTTTAATCAGCTTTACTAGAATTACTTTGCTACAGTAGCTCCTAAAATACTTCAAATTGAGTAATAAATTAATACAGAATACCTACAGGTCTAATTGAAACTGGAAGCGTCGGCTCTTCTGCAGATTTTCATGTGATTGTCTGATTCTCAGTTGTGATGACGAGATTGTTTTGCTCCAATAAAATGCTTCAACAAAAACCTCTGGTACTGCACTGGCAGTACTTTTTGCGTAGCCCCTTCTGGTTTTACATGAGCATGATTAAAGATGCAGAATGAATACTGTTCAGAGCATGTCCACTTGACACGGTGGGGTTTTTGGTGATTAGTCTGGTCGGAAACAAAAACACATTTTGCAGATTTGAACAGAAACAGGGAGGAATACATTCTTAAGATTTTTTTTTTTCCAGGTCCACGTTGCTGAGGGAGAGCACAGCACAGTACAGAGCAGGGGGGGGGGGCTGCAGGTAGACCTCCAACAGCCTGATCTGTTTATAGATACACAAACAGTTGAGGCCTTTGAAGACAACACATCGGCGATCTACAGGGTTTCCTACATAGGTCTGCAAAGTCTGGAGCAGGATGGTGATGATTTCAGGTTTTTGGAAGGATGATCAGTTGTAGAAAATGTGAGATGAAATACATTCAGCTTCAAGTCGATCTTGCAGGAACCCTGGATCTTTAGACACTGAACGTTTCAATTGGAAAAACTTTAGTCTTCCAGAACACAGTGGCAGCAACCCCGACGCTCGCTTTATCCCTCCTGTAAATGGCTTAGAATCCAGTGCACTGCTTCTGCAGTTTATATATATATTTATATATATCTTTACATCTTCGACAGTTATTCTCTTTGTATGATTAAAAAGACGCCAAAATAACTTGAGAGGTTTTTCTAACCACTGCTGGACGAGACACCGCGCGCTGATGATTCTGAAGTTGATTGATGAGATTAAAAAGTTTTCCCTCTTCTGCTTTTTCAGCTGTATTTACAGATTGTTTGAGTTTATCAATAAAGCATTGGAACCTTTTGATCAGCTGTCTACCTAAGGACAAAAGAGCATCTTTCTGACTTCAGAGTAACAAGTGATCATATTTCACAGCAGGAGTCTGTGACGGTCACTTCAATAATACTGTCTGTCAGTGGGATCTCTGGAGGCTACAGATGCTATATAATATAATGGAGGAGAAATTGTTCTGCCTACAAAAATATGTACAAGTCAATGCGTTCGTCCATGAAGTAAAGCATCTGGTGATTGATGAGTAAAGCTTAAGAGATGAAGCAGAGATGTTTTGTTTTTTTTTTTCCCTTGATGAGTTGCTGCTGCAGGCACTGAGCACCACGGTGCAAAAAGAAAAAAACAAAACAAAAACAAAACAAAAACGTAATCACCACACAGAGAAACCTTCTCCCTCCTCGTTCGATGATTTCAAGTTTTCCTTGTTAACGTAACTTCAGAGAAAACTTCCAAACTTTTCAGCGGTGGATATGAGTCTCCCTTGAAAGAGCATCCGTGCTACACAGAGGCCTTTGAGTTCAGTGCTTCAGGACCGCTGGCTGCCACAGTGACGTTGGACTGACGGGTGATTTAAGAGGCCGAGGAGCTACGCAACACCACCGCTGGAGTCGGACAGCGGGTGCGTCCGAATACCCACACATGCAGCCGTGTCACAGCAAATACTGATTTGATTTAGGTGTTTTCTGTTTAGTTTATCAACTTCATTCGTACCAAATGCAGTAAAGTAACACTTTTGCTTTCAAAAATAATGCCATGAAGAGTTTTTGGGTGCCTCTTTGTTGCTTTTTCAACAAAAACCAACGTCCTCGTAACCTCACAGCGACAGGGAAACTGCAGCTTTTGAAAAAAGTAATTATAATTTTGGGTCTGTCACAACCAGCAGTTTCTGTAGTAATAAAGGAATCTTCTATTGATCACACAGATCAATACGTTTCCCTGCCATTCAGCGTCAAGTTATGACTTGCATTCACGCAAATCATGGTTTCATTTAGAGCTTAGTTGATAACAGGTTGATTAAAATAGCCAAATATTTTGATAATTGATTCATCGTTTAAGTTGGTTTCAAGCAAAAGTTGATGTTCCATGTTCTCAGATGTGTTTTTACAGTAAACTGAGTATCTGTGGCTTTCGGACTATTGGTCAGACACAATTAAACACTTAATGATGCCACTGAGCTCTAGTAAAATTGTGGACATTTCTCTGATGTTTTTTTTTAAGTAAATCTAGAAAATAACAAACAGATTAACTGATGATGAAAATAATCGTTAGTTGCAGCTTCAGTTTTGTTAATTTAATTTAATAATTCATTTAAAATCACCAAAGACAGGGCTACTTGTTAAAGCTCTGGTCTCAAACGCTTGATTATTACGACCCAGAGCTAAGAGTATCTCACAGTTCATCACGGTCAGTCTCTGCCAATAAGCGGCTTAAAGGACGACAATCAACTCACATGAATGATGTTTGTGGCATTAACATAATGGCCAACAGGCTCCTGGCTAATCTAATAGAGCAGTGCAGTGTGGGTAAAAGGACGGACCCAGTGTGATCGAAGCACCTGACAAGTGAGGTGAAAGATGCCACGTGACAGATGCCCCTGCTCTGAGCTTCCTCGGGCCCCAGGCGACCTCCAGAGCACAAACGACGGTGGTTGGATGCATAGGTTTGACTTTTGAGGAATGCTACCCCACCTGGCACGGCACAGTTTTCTGGCTCTTTTGAAGTGCAAACGGTTGAAGGGAGATGACGGAGGGATGGAGGACCAGGCTGTGAGATGATGACAGAAGGTTAAAGAAGAAAAAGAAAAGGAAAAAAAAAGAAGATGTTTGGAGGTGGGAGCTCCAGGTTGTCGGGATGTGTCCGGCTCCTAGGAAATGATCTCCAGGATGTAGAAGACCAGCTCCATCACCACGGGGCCCTCGCTCAGCTGACACGCCCCGCTGTGGATGACGGGGATCAGAGCGCTGTCCAGGTCGCTCAGGTACTGAGGCAGGAGAGGCTGACCGTTACTTCCTGCCAGGTAACCCACCTGTGACAACGAAGACAGACAGTAGACAGAATCGTAACCACGTTTAGAGTTACAAGTAAATGATCACTTTTTCCTCAGGGTTGATAATGTTGTTTTGTTTTTATATAATAATATAATATATATATATATATAATATATCAGGGCAAAGGAATTTATCATGTAACTACAGGAACAGCCTCAGTGATGCAGAACAAGAGAGAAAAAAAAGCATTTTATCAGTTTTCTAAACTCAGGAGCCCTGGAGGCCAGGGAAGAGATGAACTGCAACGAGCTCATGCGCGCAACATGAACCACAACATCCCTGAGTTTGAGTCCAACCAGGAACCTTTGTTGTACTTTGTTTCCCTTCATCTCTCCACTGAGTGTCTATATTAAGAGGCCCCGGCCTGATCTCCATGACAAAGAACTTGTTGTGACTGCTAACAGAAGTTAAAAAAAAAAGAAAGAAAGAAAAAGTTTTATCTCATTAATATGCAAATTAAAGCAGCAAGGCACACTGAGATCTAATCAGATCATCTCCTCTATATGGGGTCGCTGTGATGGAAGTAAGAAGTTTCTACCATTTATTGTTCTTCACAAGAATAATGTTTCCTCCTAATTAAAACAATTATCTCATTGATTAGCAAAGATACAACATGTATGTTTGTGTGCGACATATGTGGTATCAGTTTGAACTGTTTATAGTTACAGCAGTTTATGGGAAATCAGTGTTCCTTATTAATATGTACATTTATGCAGAAAGTTTCTTCAAACTTTAATCAGATCACCTACTTCATGTGGAGCACCTGTGGCGTAAGTCTTACGTTTTTACATTGTGTTAAATGTGTTTACAGAGTCACGGCCGTCAGCATGATGACATAATATCCTGCATTCAATGGATCATGGTGGCGAGAAAAAAAAGTGATATGAGTAAAATTCAGGGAGATAATTGAGATTCATATTGTCAGTAATTCTATAACGTTGGTTTATTGTTCTGTGGGAAGCCGTTTACATTCAGAGGTATCTTTTTTTATTATTTGGGAGGAGCTTCAGGCTGTAGATTAGAGCTGCACTGATTCGTCGATTAATCGCTTCAGTGACTTTCTAGCTAAAATAAATATTCTCAAGTTCCAGCTGCTCAGCTGTGAGCAGTGGCTGTTTTTCTTTGTGTTATGTGATATGAAATTGATGCTTTGGTGTTTTAGACTGTTGAGTAGAAAAAAAAAACAAGCTATTTGAAGACATCCATTTGGGTTTTAGGGGAATTGTAACACGCAGGTCTGATATTTTATAGACCAGACAATTTATCAGGATATTAAAGAAATTAATTGATAATAAAAACAATCATTATTTGCAGCCTTAACTGAATTCTTTACATGAGTCAATTAATACAAAGTCAAAATGGACGACAAATGCTAACTACACAACTAACGGCCACGAAACAGTCCGGGAACTGTGAGGCTGAAACCGGGACATGTTTCATGTGCAGTTTCTATTGATTAGTGGCTTCACAGAAACACCTTCAGTGTCTACTGCCCCAAAACATTAAAAAGACACTGCCTCACCTTTATGTCATACAATACATTTCAAATTTCATGCCAGAACCACCCGGTCATCTCCTCTGTGTGCGCCATTGTTCTTTTAGAACATCTAAACTTCCATCATCGCACCTGGTCAGAGTCCAGCGTGACCCTCAGTCCCAGTTTGGCCATGCCGTCCTCCTTCAGCAGCTTCAGGTGCGGACACAGCGCCATGCAGAACGCTCTCGCCACGTTCTCCGTCAGCCGGCTGTGGTCAGCCGGGTCGCTCAGACCGTTGGGTTGGTCTTCACTCTGGAGGAAGAAGACCTGAGGAAATCACAGAAACGCGGCCTTGAGAAAGATTTCTGCAGGTGTAGTTTATTTTAAATATTTGATGGAGCAGAAGAAAAAAAACAAGAGGTCTCCTCAAAGAGTCAAGTGAGGTGAAAAAGGGCTGAGCCAAAAAAAAAAAAAAAAGATGTTCCTCTTTCTTCTGGATAAACAGTTTAAGTTTAAAGTTATCCTGGTTATCCTTTTTACAGTTAAAGCTACACTGGGCAGATTTACACTACATCATGTTATTTGTTCACAGAAAACTAAACACTTCTTGAACCGAAATTTCCTTCTATAAAATTTTTTCACAGAAGGTCCAGGTTGTTGGTGAATCAAACATTAATACAGAACTGACTCCTTTATGGCGTCATCTATTTTGCTCTTTAATTCCCTTTAAGGCAGGAACAACATCCTGCCAGTGTCTCGTGTTAGAATTTAATATAGACTCCATTAAAAGAGACGCTGACATCTCGCCCAGTAAGATCCTGGTTTTTCTTGATTTTCTTACTGGTGCTCAATAAAAGGACCAGTATGAGTCGGTACCTCTGTCCAGCGGATGACTTTGCCGTTGGCTTTGAACTCGGAGCCGTGGAAGATCTTGACGCTGGTGATGGACTCCATAGACTTTCCGTCGATCGGACTGATCACACTGGATAATCAAACACACAACATCACAGTGTTGGATTAAACTAAATTTACCAATAGAGCAGAAATGTAGGGCAGAAGAAAAGGCGGAGGTGGTGAGACATGGTCAATTAATATGCCCTTGAGCAAGGCAGTGACCTGCCAGCTGCTCAGTTGGAGCTGCTCAGTGGCCAACATCAAAGCCTCTGGCTGAGCTTGTATTCAGCCAACTTGTCTTATTTTTCTTCATTTTAAGTCTATTCTTTTACAGCGAAAGGCCACACAAATGTTCCAGTGCCACCCTTTTACTTTTTGCTTCCGCTGCTGTCTCTGGGCCAGATGTGTTTAATTGTTTAAAACTGTAATTACAGCCTCGCAGTTGTATTCATCCTTGAGTCCAAGTAAATGTTTGTGCAAAATTTGAAGGGAATCCCCTGAGAAGCTCCCGAGATATGTTGTGAGGTTACCGTGACCTTTGACCTTTGACCACCAAAATGTAATCAGTTCACACTTGGAAGTGAATGTTTCTGCCAAATACGAAGAAATTCTCTCACGACGTCACTGAGATATCATGTTCACAAGAATGGGACGGGCTGATGGACGGATGGACAACCTGAAAACATAATGTCTCCGGCCCTGGCTGTCTCCAGCATGGAGGCATACAAAGGCATGTTTTACCAAGCAGACAAAATATGAAAGCAAGCAATGGATCAGGCTTCTTACAACCAAAAAGAGCATTAATTCCATAAGTAATCGTCATCACACTTCAGTGGTGTTTTGTTACAGAAGTCGTTACACATGCTAAAGACAATTTTAAATTCTAGTGGACACTTTTATTCTCATCTTTCTATTTAGAGCAAAAAATAAAGTGCAAGAGGTCTGAGAATGAAGGTCAAACAAACAAAGGATGTACAGTATAATGTCGAGATAAATAATGCAGGAAATTAATACTTAAATTACCACGATATGACGACAGCAGACTAAGTTAACTTATGCGGTGAAATAAGGGTTAAAACAGCTACTGGGCAGAGAGTGTTCTGCTAATGAAGTGATAGAGTATCTGGTGAAAGAGCTCAATTATATTTAATGGTGAAGAGTCACATTTAAATTTGGAGATTTTATCAGGCTGCTGTAAAATTGATTGCGCTGGTCTGTATCTCAGTCAGAGCCACGTCAAACTACATCATTCCACCCGGCTGCTGCGGAGAGTTTCCTCCAGAGGGATTCCACGAGCACGCATGATGAGTTTTTATAGCTAAGTAGTAAATGTAGTGGTTGGGAAGCTATCAGTTCAATTGTCCGTGATGTAAATGCATCTCTCTCATGTCTCTCCTCCTCTCCTGATCCCTCTCCTCGTCTGTTCACAAGGTCTCTTCCCCTTCCCCTTCCTCACCCCTTGTTGAAGTTGTGGTCGTCCTCCGTCCACTGGATGTGGATGAGCTCCTGGTTCTCCTCCTGGTCGGCTTTACCGCACGTGATGGTGAAGTCCTTCATGTCCCTCAGGGCTTGTCGTAGAGAGTCCATGGTCTCAGCTGTGATCTGGATCATCACACCATCTAAGGGTGGGAGAAGAAGATCAATCATGAGTAGTGTTCAGACAAATTGTCTACTAATGAATAAGTTGATGAGCAATTAATCACTTAAAGGTAAACTTGTCATGTGGAGTACGGTGATGCCAGCAGTGTAACATCAGTTGGAGCTGATGCTGGAGAAATGTAGAAATTCACCAGGAAGCAGAGGTCTAACAAAAAATACTGTACATTATGGGAAATGTAGGATCCAGAAGTTTGGAGCTTTAAGTACACCGGGGACAAAACGACGAGGCAATTCAGCCTCTACTGCACTGATTTTAAAAAGAGTATTCGAGTGACTAGTCTATAGTGAGTCCCCCAACTTTATGGAAGTACAATACTAAATCCTTCAGCCATTTATCAAGTATAAATACCAAGCATTTTTCAGATCATTTTCTGTTTTTCACTTTCTAGTTGAATATCTTTGGGTTTTCGCATTGCTATTCAGAAAAAAACAGCAATTTGAAAACTTCACCTTGGGCTCCGTGAAACTGTACTGGACATTTTTCTGAACAATTGCAGGACATTTTTATCAAACAATAAAAACAGCAGATTCATTTATAATAAACTAAGAATCATTTCAACAAATATTTCATTAGTCACATCGGGAAATACAGGTGCAATCCTCTTTCACAGGATATGACATTTTAAATTGTGATATAAAGGTAGTGTTTATGTAATGTACACACACTTTGGTGTTCCAGTGTGATAAATACCTGGAAAAATCAAGGCACTTTAACAATTTCAAACAAAATCTTACCCTGAAGCGCCCTTTCTCATGGTTTGCTGTATAGACTCAACTGATATTTCAGAATTTTTACAGCCAACATGTCGTTTGTTGTCACATCTCACCTTCCACGATGCTGGTCTTGGCTAAGAAGCCCGACGAGGCTTTCAAAGCACCACTGAACACAAAGAAGCAGGCTCCAGTAACTGGGAAAAAAAAAAAAAAAAAAAAAAACAAACAGAAAAAGGGAAAAATAATCACAACTTCAGTTCAACTTCACAAGTCAACCACTGAGAGCAAATTATTTTCAGGCAAACAGACAAGAGAAATAACAACAGCCAGCAATTTTCCGGCAAACAACCAGACAGAGTGGAGGGGTCTTAAATGTGATGAGTCTGTGTCTGCGTCAGCACCTTTGCGCGGCTGGTGATGGATGCTGATGGCCTGCGTCTGATAGTTCCCGTCATCGTTCTGGACACACACCAGGTGGGAGTCGGCCCGGTCGTTGAAACATGCCCCCATGGCCAGCACGTGTTCGTTGGACTTGTTCATGGCCTTCATCAGCTGCAAGAACATATGATATCCATGTCTAATTAAGCTGCCCTTTGGGTGTGTGCTGAGGAAAATGGGCTTAAGAGAGGCTGCCTGGTTAAGCCTAATTGCAGTGGGCTTGTGGGTGAAGTCCTGGAGTTAAATGGGATGGTGCTGAGATGACAGATTGCGGAGAAAGACACTGACACGGGTGGATATCAATAGTTGAAAGATTCCACATATTAATTCTGCTAAATCCCCTGTCTCTGCATCTCTTTGAAGCCGTCCTTTGCAAATCAGAAATAAAACTGAAAATCTGGAGGGCTTTAACCACTTGCTGCGCTAAAGGCTCGCCTGCAAGCTGTTGAGAAACGATCCCCACTTCACATTACTGGGTTCCCATCTGTTACTGCATCAGCAGCCAAACGCTACAACCGGCACCACTCTCTCCACCAATGGCTCATTTTCTCAGCCAAATGGTGCTTCGTATGTATCACTTCTTCTGGTTGGACATTCATTCACACCCTTCGAGGCAGCAGCATTATAACAAGTCGGCAGCCTACGCCGAATGTTCAGCTGCAGGGGCCCTGGAGAGTTTGTCACATATCACCTACACACAGTGAACATGTGTGTGTGTGTGTGTGTGTGTGTGTGTGTGTGTGTGTGTGTGTGTGTGTGTGTGTTAATGTTCAAGGAGCTTTTAGAAAACCTCCTCCACTGATGTCATTAGTCTGGTGGAGGGTTTTACTGTGTTAGCGTCTTCAAAAAGTATATATAATCCTGGAAAACATGTTCAGATGTGCAACATATGAGAAACAGCTCTGCTTTCTGTGTGTCTACAATCCACTTTCATGCTTCAGTTTGAAGTTTTAGGGTGCTTCGACACCAAACTAATTTGCCGCAGTTCAAACAAATTCTGGTGCATTTGCCCATTTGGTTCTGTTCGTCTAGACTGGTGAGTTTTGTTTGTGGTGTGAAAGCAAAGCAGACCAACAACAGGACTTTCACAGTCACCAAAACTGTCCAACGATTGAGTAACTGTGAGTCTGTGAAGCTTCATGTTAGTAGCTCTTGGTTTATTTGTAGAGAAAAAAACAAAACAGCAAGATTACGAACCAGACCAGACGAACTAAAACCTTTTTCCCTCAGTCTGGATGAACTGAATCAAACCACAGGTGTGTAAGTGACCTTAGTTTTAACCGGTATGTGATGTTGTGTGATGTTGTGTGTTGTTGACGCTCACCTCATTGTAACGATTACTGGGGATCTTGATGCTCGTCTTCCTCACCTCCATGTCAACAACCAGCCCTTTCACCACCGGCAGCGTGTACTGGTAGTTACGGAAGTCCTACAACGGGCATGGAAAAACCGCGGTTTTTGATTGGTAAAATGAACAAATTCTAACAAAATAACTAACAATACGAAAAGGAAAAAGAAAATCAAGTTGCCCGATAAGTCACAACCTTACTTGACAAAATCATCTTCCTACAGACTTGTGTTATCATATCTTATTCTTCATCAACACAGCAGAGTTCTTCAACCGTGAAAATAAATAATAACAGAGCACACCAGAGAACAAAGCACTTACTGCGAGCAGGTTCATGATCGTGTGACCGGTCTCTCCAAAGAGTGGTTTTCTGAAGCGAACACTGAACAGCGGACACGGATAAACTGCAAAACAAAATGTTTAGTTATTGAGAAATCGTCACTAACATGTTTTCTTTGTTCCCCGTGATCATATTTTTTAATGTCAGGGCCAGTTATTATTGTTCATCAACTGTCTTATTCAGTTGTCATGGAAACGTATCAAATACTAATTGGCATAATGAAGCCAATTTGGAACCAATTGTAGCGTTTTGGGTTCAGCGTTGACAATAATAAGTAACAGCAATGTGGTCGCAGAAAATGATATTTTTATTTAGTTTTAATTCTTAGTCTGTTGTTATAATGGTATTCCTCGTGTGTTTTAATTAACTCATTATATCAGTCTTAGTTTGGGTCTTTTTTTGTTCTGTGGATGAGATGTTTCCAGGATTTGTAACATTTCATTTACTGCACAATTTGTGTTTTCTAAGTTTTCCCATCTTCATCATTCATATATGCAAATGAACTGAACAAGAGACACCACACACCAACATCAAATACAGTGAACTGTGCCTGCAGTTAGGAGGAACGCTCCTAATCCACAAGTGAAAAATAAGGCTGCTTTTTTCTCCAGCAACCAAAGCTCCTTAGATGACTATTTTTAGCCTTATCTCAGCAAACAGCTGGATATAAGATCTCGCCACAAACTCTCATTAGCAATAAAAACCAATCTCGGCCTGAAACTGCGGTTCAGCGGGCATCCGTGTGCTCACAGGCCTCCCGACCTTCTGCTGGTCACTGCTTAATGCAGGAGGTGAGAGCGTAGAGAACTGCACTGTTTGTGCGGAGGATTAATTTCATGGTAATGCTAACATTAGGTGTTTAAGAGCTTCAGCTGTATGTGGCTTTGTTAATGTATTCTATCCATGCTCACTGGAAGCAGGCAAGAGGCTTAGCGGAGCCAGGCGGCGCTCCGTGCTGGCAGGTCTGGCTGTGAGAGACGGGGATTTGGTGGAGGGGAACCTCTCTGATAAAAACCCCGTACAAGACGTCTGTGTTCGTGTGAGAAGTTGTGAGGAACGTACAAATGCAGGCTGGTATGAGGTTTACAGGCTTCTTCTGACAACTCGCATAGTAAGCTCTCTAGATAAACCTCTTCATGTTTTACCATAAGAAACCATCAAACCATTAGAGGACACTCAGCGCTCTTTGCTCTGCATTTCACTGAATTTAACTTTGTGATGTTTGGGTTTTAACATTTAACAGAAATTTGTCGTCTTTGTGTCGGATTTCTGCACTGTTCAAATGTTTCAGTGAACAGGTTGCTTAATGACCTTGAATGTGGGGCTCCATTTTGCCACAGGTAATTCATGCAATCAGCTGGCACAGCTTGTACCTTTTTGCTGTTGTTCCCTCTCACCAAACGGCTCCTGATGATGATTTTATAGTGAAGCTGAAAATTTGACACTGGAACATTGTCTCTCTGTCCTTTTTTTTTTCCTTTTAAGTAACCTTAACCTCATATGTATTAAATATCAGTCCAGGTAAAGGTCAGGTTACATTACACTTCCTGAAAATATTCACATGTTTCCCATTCACTTGAGTTGAAGCCCACAAGTATGTATCTCCTGCTCCAACAAACATTGCAGTTCAAAGTTTTGTTCAACTTTGACCAGGCGGATGTGCTCAGTCAGCCACTAGAAACTGTGTTATTCATTTAGCATATTTTATAATCATGTTTAGTGCAACATTACACCGCACTACAAACTGCAGCGCTGCTCTCAGACTGATTACACTTCAGGATAATTTGGATCAATATTTATGCATTACCCACATCAGAAACATGAAACCACGTCCTTTTTTGGAGCTGTGTGTAAAGAGAATGTGACTGGACCTTAACAGAGGAGCAACTTCTTTCCCTCAGGACTGTTGCAGAGATACAGCCAATTATTGAATCTCTTACTTTCTTAGTACTAACCAAGTATCAACCTACCTTTATTTTTTCTTTTACTCTTTGCCATATTTATCCACTTGTGTCTCCTATATGTTAAGCTTTAGTGGCTATGTTAGTTGTTTAAACGTTAAATGTTCAATTAAAAGTTGATCAAAAAATGATGGCAGAAAATCAAACATGTTTATATTTACTAAAATATGGTATCTAGAAAAAGTTTTGCCATCAATTGTGAATCTCAAATATCATGGCTGGACTACTATCAAAAATTGTCAAACCTTACCCGGCCCGCAGAGATGAGGTTGATCATGGAGGTAGAGACAAAACTACAGACAACCAAAACAAACTGCCTACAATCCTGCTGGGCCATGTTCAGAAAATAACGAATAAGACTGAAACTCTATCTGCTGAGGAAGGGCATGTGATATGATTGAAAGCTCCAGGTGATGTGTGCACTGTTTATAGTGTGAATCCCAGTAGTCCAAACTCACATCGGTACTCCGCGCCCAGCCGCAGCATGAGGCGGATGGGGAAGACCTTGGCCCAGGGCGTCTCCCACTTCTGTATCAGGATGCCAAAGAGGTAAGGCGGGTTTGGCAGCAGCAGGTCCTGTAGTGACTGAAAGGAGGGGCTGATGTAGAGGAAGCCGCCATGCTCCTTACTGCCCAGGAAGCTCTGCGTGAAGAAGGAGTGACTCAGGTGGCTCAACACGTTGCCTTTGGGAGATGAGGAAGGAGAGGAGAGAGAGGTTAAAGATACAAGAGATATGAGGAGGAGGAAAAGGGGTTGGTGAAACAGGAGAGGGAAGGCACAGTAGGGAGCGGGGGAGAAGGTGGGGAGAATAAGTAATGTAATAGGTGTTTGGCGGCACAAAGTGGAAAAAGTAGGGAATGAGATGAAGGAGACCGGATTTAAAAATGAAAGGATGAAATGAAAGAAAACACCAAGGCTGAACATGAACACAAATGAGAAGCAAAGGAGGAAAACAATAGAGAAAAACAGAGGTTCTCATCCTCTGAAACAGGAGATAGATATGAAAAGCAATGGCTCTCAGTGTATTTTACTGGATTACTGTGTGGATAGGGAGCCTTGCTTGGTCTGTATTAAGTTCTACAACAGTGAATGAAAACTTGCCTGCTCACCCTGCAACCTCATATTACCCAGAAAGGTTTCATGTTACTAATTATCCGTGGGAGGGATCGCTGGCTTTAGATGGCACGTAACACAATGAGCGTAATGACAAGACAAAGCTCAGTGGCTGAGACTTGCTAAAGCCAGCACTTCTTCTCGAGCCCTGACTGACAGCGACTTAATCAGGAACGACACACACAATATGGCTCCTTTCCACCAGCCTGAAACTGCTCCAGTGTGAATATGAAAAAGGAAACAGCCAGAGGGGAGCTAGCCATCAAAGTCACCCGATATTAGCCTTATTTGTTCTGCAGCATACGGAGTTAAAAGCGCAAGGCAAGCGGTGGGGAGGTGTCACGCCTGGAGGGAGGCGCACTGACAGCGGGACACTAATATTTGGACCATGTTTCATAAAAAAAAAGGCCGAGATACAATTCAGCAGCGGCAGACAGTAACCTGATTTCTAAATAGAGGACAAGATGGTGTACATGTCATCCCTAATGGACAAAAAGTAGAGCTGGAACATTTTCCCCTTGCGTTACATTCGGGTTAACTCATTTTTAACTGGACAGCACCTGACTGAGACAGGTGGACTCACCTGTGGACCTCCAGGCACAACTAGTAATGAGCTGCTGTCTCCCCCAAGAGGGGCCCATGGTGGAGTTGGACTAGTTTCACAGTGAGCCTCCTGGTGGAGTGGTTCTTACCACTGAGGGCCTCCTGGTAGAGCTGCACGAAGTGGGTGAAGATGTCTTTAGGGATGGTCTTCTCATCAGGGAGACACTGGAGCAGAATGACCACCTCTGCCTGGCCGACGGCGTGCATGCCTTTAGTCGTCACATACCAGCACTTCCGGTTTACATCTGTGGGTTGAGACAGCAGAGATGTGGAGTGATTCTCTTGGTGATGATACGTCTATTTCTTATATGGATTTGAATGTAGTATGATGCTGCTTAGACACCTGGACTCCTGCATCAATGCTGTCTCTATATCAAGGACTACAATGGAAATAAACCTTGGACTTTACTGTGTTAATCTTGACTTTTTCTAGATAGTGTGACCTGTCAAACAAACTAAACTAAAACAACAACTAAAATTTCATAAGCCCCGAGTCATGAACCTGGTCACATTTTAATGACACTTCTGACTTAGCAGAAGTCTGAATTGAATGCTGTTATGTTGTGACAACAGCACAAGATTAAATACAGGCAAAGAGAGATTACATGCATTAAATGTCTTGTTCCACTGTAAATTCACCACTCAAATATCATCTTTGCAAAAATTACTTTAATAAAATACAAATTACTAAATTAATCTAATTAGAAATCAGTCTTTGAAAGTGATTTTTTCCCCTCACAGTGCTGGTATCTTATACACCTATAGCAATACGAAGACCAGCTGTCTTTAATTTCAATTTTCAAATAATATCTACAGCAAAACGCTTTAGATAAAGGATGTGAGCAAACAGGAATTAATGTGAGCCCCAACTCAACGTCTTGTCACTCTGTGGTTTTACATTGTTGAAGACTGTAGGCAGCAGAATAGTGTAATAAAAGATAAATTCAACAGAAAATTTGTTGGTGAGAAGCAGTGAAAGAGCGTCCTTCCCACCCACAATGGTCATTAAGAGACTTAAGGCTTCAACAGCAAAATAGGTTTTTAAATACATCACTGATACAACCTTTTTGGGTTTGGGTATATTTGGGTATCGCTGCTCAGTGAGAAGAAAAGAAAAAGAAAAAAAGCTAAATCAGGCATAATAAAAATAAAATGTAGACATGTACATATTTTTATATTTCACTTAGACCATCGTGGGCTTTTTATGCATCCTCAATGCCCCATATCAGTTTTTTAAACGGTAGAAAGACACCAGCTGTGTAACTCACAATTCACAAGCTTGACCATGGCGAGCAGGTTAGCGTTGAGCACAAAGACCAGGGGGTCTGGGCCTCCCTCCTCCAGCTGCTGCATTAGGACGATCTCCGACGGCCTCTCCTCCACTGCGTAGTCTACAGGTGGGTTAGGGTGGGATGAAAGAAGGAGACAAGGGTGAAGGAAGGGAGGAGTTGAGGTCAAGTTAGACAAATAGACAGAAAGAACAGAGTATGAGAAAGGGTGGAGATGTCAGAGTGAGAACAAGGGGGGGGGGGGGGGGGTGAAGATGGAGAAGCAATTATAAGTGAGGTAGGAGAGGGAAATGATGACCAGTCCAAGTTAACAACAGCTAGAGACCCCCAGAATGATTCAAAACATCATCACAGCATACCCATGTACAACCCCCCCCCCCTTCTCCTGTTGGCAATGAGTGATCATAACATGAGCCGTGATATAAAGCACATGAGAACAAGCACAAACACAGCAGCTGACGGAGCAATGAAGAGGCAGCAGAATGGTGAGGATGAGGGCAAGCACCTGTGATGTGGCCTCCCGTACCTCCTTTGACTCCGGTGGAGATGAGGATGGGAGGGAGCCCGTCCTCCGGAATCAGGCTGAGGGAGCTGCCCACGGGGCTGCCCACCGGGGCAACAGGGGTATGGGCTGCCTGAGGGTGGAGAGGAGGGGTGGGGGTGCGAGGTTATATGTACTGCAGGTTATAACACACAGTGAGATGTAATAGTACAGCAACAGAATCCAAAAGCATGTTTGTGGCTGTGATTATGGGTACGACAGGTGTAATAAGTACAAGGTGCAGCCAAATCTGCCATCAGCACCTATAATCACAGTCAAAGGTGCACCCCTGGTTACTGTATGGAACAGGTACCATCCACTGTTTCATCTATTTCTTCAAAATAATGTACAAATTTACATTTTTAGGATAAATAATGAGAAAACCAGAGCTATCACTGTCTCTTCTTTATTAACCCAGTTTAGTTAGGCAAACACTGCTGCTAGTTATTTATGTTATTTACATTTACACTGGAAAGCACTGCTACACTGTCAGGTTGTGTTGTAAAAAAAAAAAAAGGATCTACCTTTTGCACAAACAACAGCAGTAAAAGAAAAATGCACCCAGAACTGATGTACTTAAAGGGACACTCCAGAAATGTAGTATTACTTTTCCTTAAAATTACAATATTTGTATATTCACAATAGGAAAAATGACTATGTGTGATGTAAGACGGGTTGCTCATAGTGACAAACCCACAGAGAATTATTATCCAACTCCTGCAGGGAAATCTGAGTTATAAAGCATCTCTCATTGTTTGTTATTGAACATTGCTTCGGTAAACACTGGTGAACACAGTGCAGCATTTAGCAGCTAGAGGAGTTAGTGGAGACTCTAAAAGTGAAACTCTGTAAGCAGTGGATACAAACTATACCTTGACCCTCAATGTCTTGTAAGCTGCTTTCAGACTTCATGCAACCAGTTTGTAATGCAAGCTCTCTATTAGAAATGTGTCGTCTCCAAGACTAAAATGATACCAGTTGAGTTCTTTTCTCAGTTTTGATAGAAGCTCCTCCAGGGCCACATTTGACATCATACAACTGTGTTCACAGGCTGAGTAGAACTCGCTCTGACCAGTGAATCGATTTTTACATGTAGGAATGAACCAGCGCCCTTTTAACATTACTAATGGTCCAAACTGAATGTTCTGTCACTTTTGCCTTCATATCATACATTATACGGTGCTACACCATGAAAACGTCTAGAAAAGCACAATAAGAGCCTGTGTTTATCAATGGCTCATCTACTGCCACTGGTAAACAACAGCAGTCGACTTTCCGTGAGCAAAATCTTTGGTTAAATTCATGCCAGTATGGTCAGTACGACTTTCACAATCTGAAAGTCTGAATTTATACTCAAGTTGTGCCTGCATAGCATCAGCAGGCCATCTCAGACGGAGCCATTTAAAAGCTTCAACAATCACTCTGTTCAACAGGCCATGAATCATCCTGACAGTTGGCATTCAAGTTCAATGAGTGTGGGGCACAAACACAGAAACAACCAAACGCAGCTTGCTGTTCTGTTTAATGCTGTGAGGCAAAAATTTAAAGTAGTGGTCACTTATGTTGGCTTACAGTGAATAAAGTATAGTATCTTGCAGCTTTCAGCATTTCAGTCTGCTGGGATTTCTGGGATTTCTGATTCTGATTATGCACACAAGGAATGTTTCTTTTGAACTCTGTTTACTGCCCATTTATTACAGTCCTTGAGCCAGCAAGTAAATCACCAAGAATCCCACAGAAAGAGTCCTTTGTGGCTTCCTTCAGCTAATATGACCATACACGCTATCCTAATAGCATTAGCTGTGGGTGAATGTTTTTCGTGCCAAGCCTACCTCTGAGGACTCAGAAGTGGAGGATTTGTTTGAACACGAGGAGATGGCCAGTGACTGGGAGGGAGCTGGGCTGGGAGTTGGAGGTTTGGGGGACTCTGCTGTGTCTCCGTTAGGTAGGACCCCATCAGCAAACCATACCCTCCTCTGCTCACGTGACAGGGACCCTAAATGAGAGAGATACTAAATTACATTTTACCTGAATATCTCCATTGAACAGCCACACTCATACCAGCACATGCACAGTGCACAAGCAATGCACAATGTATGACAACTGCAAATTAATCCCACAAATAGCAAAAAAGCAGTTACTACTAGAAGTGGGGACAGATTGTCACTGTAAAGGTAAAATATAAAGTGCTAAGAGTATTTTCATGCTTAGTAAAGGTCGTACCCTCGTTGCCAGGCTGTTTCAGGACTCCCACAGGGACCATGACGGTGGGAGGAGGGGAGCTGAGTACCCCAGAGGCCTGAGCCTGTTGGAGAGGGGGGATGGTGGAGCAGTACTCTGCTGGGTTGTTAGGGTTTGGACTCTGGTTGCTTCCTGTGGCCGGTGTCTCCCATGATTGAGCTGGCAGACAGAAAAATATCATTGTGTGTGTGTGTAGAGTCTAAAAACTATACAGATTGGAAAGTCGGTCTTATAAGCAACACATCAAATTCTACATGTAAGCAGGTGCTGGATGTCTAAGATGGGTAGAAAAATATTAATATCAAAAATAACAGTTGTACACACAGAAATTTATTGACAGTTTAAGCATCACGCAATCAAGATACGTGCTTTTTAGAGCCTTGTTAATAGTATTAACATACACAGTTTTATCTTTTAAAATGAATGGGATTTTTTTGACATTTTGGCTCGTCATAGTGTAACGTTCACAGGTGTTACAAATTTCATTAACGAGGACTCTGTTCCAGAACGTAGCCTAGTGAACCATTCTTGTAAAACAAATGCAGTTGTAATTACAATTATTAATTGCACCTGTGCTTTTCCTGGTATGAAATGTCAAACTGTCAGCCATTAAAAAGGTCTATTTATACAGTAGCCATACTTCATGTACTACATTACCATACTACATATAATGCTCCTCATGTATGGAATACCAAAAATCATTCTGCTGCAACAAAAAATAACTCATTTCTGTCAACAACAGTTGTATGTTTTTGGTGCTGAACAACCACACGCACTGTAGGATAAGCTTTACCACAGCTTAAATAACTCTAAAGACCGACACTTTCAGTATTGTTTTTAACAAAGGGACCAATAAAATACCAGTATTTGTTTGTGGATCATTATCCTAAACGTTTTTTGTATTAATCTACCATTGCTTTCTCCTCCTTTCAACTTTCAACAATTATAACCTTTTTAAATGGAGCAGCATCCTCAGTTGTGTTTAAGTGCACATAACCTGGAAAGAACTACGGTAACTTTCTTGTTGCATTGATACTCACCACTTGTCAAAGCAGAATGACACGTGACACAGACGCGGGCTTCCTTCTTGTCCATGTATGTGAGCCTGCACTTCAGACTGCAGCATGTCGCGCAGAACACCTTAGAAATAACAGGCAGACACACAGAAACATGTCATTTGTGCCACATGCGTACAAAAGTTGAGCACACCGGACAAGGCCGTGTGACATTTTCTCCAAATTATTTGAAATTTACAGTAGTTATTCAAAAAGGAAAATAAGTGCAAGGACGCGATGATTAAGTGTGCAGCAAATGTACCATTTCATGGATATTGATTTCCTGTACTTAGCCAGTGCTTCAACAAGCTGCAGCTGTGTACAGGGCACTTCACTTTCAATGGATTAGCACCTCATTATACATCATTATCCAGTAACATGAATTTAGTAAATGATTAGACTAAGGGTGGAGGATCCTTTTAATTTCAGAGCCTCACAGCAACATAAGCTGGTTTGTGGATCTACCACTCTGGTGGTGGATGCTCTGAGGATCCCGCTGCGTCTATTGTTTTTGCGGCCCCACTGCTGGTGTCAGTATTACTGCAGTGCCAGCTCCTCCCTGCTCAAGTGGCAGAGCGTGCGCTTGTTTACCACCATGGGAAATTAAGTAGCACTCCGGCGATTTTACAGTGCAGTGTCAGCGGCCGCATCTTCACATTGAAGCAATGTGCGGACGTCCCGCTGCATGTGTGGGCGGTCATGATGGTAGAAAGCTACCTGCATAGCCACTGAGTTTATCTGCAAAGAAAAGCCTAAAAAGGAACTCATCTATCAAAGCACTGCACTTAATTTACCCCCTTACTCTAGAGAGTCCAACAAAGCTTCTATAAGTCACTGATGAAATATTGTTCTATAAAATTTGCAGTTACTGTTGTATTTCATTATCATAATTGTTTTTCATTCTTGTCCTCATAAATTTTGCCTTTCCTTCAGTGCATATTTATCTTGTTTTGTTACCAGTAGTGTATCTTATCTGGCCATGTTGTGGACCTTCACTGCACCACTCACCCATAACATTGATGATTGCAGATAAGAGTCTATACAGTAAAAGGTTACTCACTCCTAAGAGACCCAGCATGAAGGCATCAGCTGAATCCTTAATTAAATATATTGTGCAGAAATGTAAATGTGCAGCAACAGCATCATCCAACATACTCACTAACTGTAGTAGGTTACCACTGCGTGATATTAGGAGCATTAAGAGGGTTCTTTTCTGCTAAAATGTTGTAATGCAAGTTCTTGGTTTACCCATTATTCCCTCAACTTGTCCTGACAGGCTAACATCAGTAGGCATCACATCACTGGCCCCACAACAGAGGTAGTAGCAGGTCTAGACAGCAATAGTGCTAACAGCAAAGACATTTTTCAGCCACAGTTTTTTAAGTCATTGATCTTATTGTAAATAAAATAAATATTTTGGTCTATTAGTCTGTACAGGCTACTGCAGGGGCTTTTATCGAGTTTCTTGTATTCTGAAGGGCTGTCCCCTAAAACTATCCTTTTCTGTTGATGTTTCAGACAGATTTTTTAAAAACTATTTTACTGTCTTTTTAAATGTTATCCTGATGCATTTCATTGCCTCATGTAAGGCTCTTTAGATTGCCTCTGCTGTACAAAAAAAACTTGCCTTGCACAGTAGAACTCATTATTATAAAAGTAGCTACTGGAAATATTTCAGTGACAGCACATTGTCTGCTTTTGGTTATTTATCATTGTTATAATTGGCTACCTATAATTAGAAAAATAAAATAAAAACCAGACAACAAATGTAGCCCAAAAATTGCAGTTATCCCTATTTTTAAGTGGGTTACAGTGTTTTTAGATGGGATTTTCCCTTTAAAGCAGCTCTAGCGCTCTAACCTTGCCGCAGGCCCTGCAGTGGTGCCTCCTCTTGGTGAAGGTGAACTTGACATCACATTTCATACAGACGGGAGCCTGGGAGTCAGGCACCCACACAGGGGCAACCTCGCCCAGCGAGCTGGCAGGTTTCTTGCACAGAGCGCCCTGTTGGCCTGCCTGGAGGTCATTGTCTGGGCTCTCCGAAGGCATCAGGGAAGGAGAGTGGACAACACCATCTCCGTTCACCCCTACTGCAGTCTGATCTGTCCCACTTTGTGTTGCTTCAGACGGTGTGCCTCTCCAACACTGGTTCTCAAGGTTCTTGTTCTTGCTGACAGTGGACGGGCCAAGCTGGTTTTGGACCTGGCCCGACAGCGGCTGAGGAATCTGGAGTTTGAGGCTGACCGGCTGCTTCGGTCGTGCCCCTCCGTAGGGAACACTGACCGGCTGCAGCCGGTTGTTATTGAGTTTTGGTTGGATGCTACCAGACCCCACTGCTCCTCCCTCGCCGCTCTCCTGCTTGCTCTCCTCCATTTCTTTCTCCTCAGTCACAGAGTCCTCTTTGGAAGGGACAGGAGAGGGAGAAAAACCCTCCTCCTCTTCCTCCTCTCTCTCTTCTGTGTCTTTCAACTTAGAATGACTCCTCTCCTGCTCCAAACCATTAGGAAGGCTTGTTATTCTGAGGAGTTGGTCTACCTGTCCCTCTGGACTACATCTCCTCTCCTTGTCCACTCTGTCAGGAGGAGATATACCATTCTCCTCTGCCTCACAACCAGCATGAACATCTCTCCCCCCATTCAGGACACTGTCTCCCTGCTCCTTGTCAGAATTTGCAGTTTGTCTCTCTTGGCCATAGTCCTGTAAAACAGCCGTACTAGCCTCGTCTTTGACACCTTCCCCAATTTGTGTTGCTGGTTCCACATTTGCATGAATCTTCTCAGATGGATCTTCTTCCTCTCCTAATCCGAGCTCAAAGGTGAAGTGAGTGTGACTGACAGCGGAGCCTCCTCCTCCTGCTGAGGCAGCACTCTCCTCCTGATGAGGTTTAACCGCCTGGTCAGAAGCACCGGGCTGGTTGTCTGGAGGAGAACTTATCTCTTTGCTAAGCCCATCATTTTGTGGGCTTGCATGGCAACCATTCTCCACAGCACTACATGCCGTCACAGGGGGCGGCGAGAGGTCGTCGGTTCCCACCAGTTTGCCGATGTTGGGCTGGGGGAGTGGTGGGCTGTGGACGTCTGCCGGCCTCTCCTCTACCCAGGATGGAAGTTCAGGACCGGGATGTCTTTTAGGATCTGCCCCCGGGGAGGCGCTAGAAGAGGAGTCAGGGAGAGTCTTGAAGGTCAGCGGACTCTCCCGGGGGCTGAGGTCTGCGTGGGCCAGGGCGGGGTTCAGAGAAAGCAGGTGGGCCGGCGGGGCCAGGATCTGGGTCCACTTGGCATCCGAGAGAATAGGAGTGTCCGTCTCATCTGGCAGACACAGAAGAGAGGAAAATAAAAGAATTAGTTTGATCTTATTTTCCCTTAATTGTCATAAAACCTTAGTCTTTTTAAGTGAAAATAAATCAATTGATCCAGTTAGGGCTGCAACTAACAGATTGGAGATAACTTGTTTAGATTAATTGATTAGTCTATGAAATGTGAAAAAAATTTACATCACAACTTCATTTGAAAAGCTGGAATGAGTTAGTGCTCGTAAAATGACTGAAACAATAGATGATCAAAATAGTAGCCAATTATTTTCCTGTCAATTGATTAAATAGATGAAACCCCTAATTGTTTCAACTCTAGATCCAATAGTGGCTTTGCTGCACTCTGATCTATAACTTACGTACAAAACTTTTTACCCTCATTTTGATGATAAGCTTGCAGGTTTCTCACATTTGAGACAGCAGCAGAAAACATGAGGTTGAGGACCACCGGCAAAAAAATCATGATCCTCAACAACAAGACAGGAAGCCTCAAATGAACTGCCACAGAGAACTGTGGACTGTGAAGATACACACTCCCAGGTGATCAGAAGAGCTAAAAATGGCAGAATATATCAGGGGACAAATTGAGAAATGAGGTTGGCATGGAGTGGGAAATTAGTGCATGGATGGACTGGGAAATTCTGAGAAAGTGGGCCAAATGGCTCGGTCACCCCTGGGAGCCATCAGTCAGGCTGACACATGAATGCTGTGTAATACGAGCGGAAATTCTTATAACATTTATTCAAAACAACTTTCTCACACAGCAGTGGCAGCTACTGTATAGCACTCTGCTCCCTGGAATTCATGCTAAGCTGTTTTAGTATGTGCTGTACTCAGTTAAAACACACACACGCACACACACGCACACACACACATACACACGCACACACATAATCTGCCAAGCTGGATCTCTGGCAAAGTACACAGATAATCACTCTGCCAAAATACAAACTGAGCTCACAGTATTATCAAAATACATTCTGTGTGTGTGTGTTTCAGCAGGACAGGCATTTTTCTGGGGTCATCCATGATAAATCCAGGAAAAAAAAACAGTCTTTCTTCTATAATAATCTGATCGTTTGTACTGCAGAGCTGGGAGCCTGCAGATACACAGCTCAGTAATGCAGTGTTTACTTTACAATTACCTTAAAAAAACTCTGTGGGACCACAGTTCCAAAAAAGGCCCTAATATAATTTCTTTACTTATTGTGAGCATTAAGTGTGAAAAACGACAACGCTCTTGCCCTGGACCAATTACACAGACAAACCCAAGGGAAATGGAAAATCCAATTAGTCCTATTCCCACTCTGCACACCCTCAATTACCACCTGTAAATGTTACTCAAACTCATTGGGCGGTCGTTGATTGTTGCTGATCTGACACCTTGATGCTTTACTCATGGGTTACATAATGTTATCCTAACCACAGCTCTTCTGAAACTTCAATCCCATGGCTAGACCTTGTCTCATCCGTCTTTTCTCAAGCACAATGACTCACCGTCTGTGCCCGTCTCATCTCCACATTCATTAAAGAGAACGCACTAGCTCACCTTCGTTCTGCTCGAACTCATCCAGCACCTTGTCCAGGTTGAAGGCCTCGGCCTGGAAATAATTCTCCATGGGTCAGGAAGCTCCACCCTGCCGACGGCCGTGTGAACCTAGAAGCAGGAAGCACGTGTCCTCAATACCAAATCCTTTCACATTTCCATACTGTATGCAGATGTCTCCAACGGCCTGAATCATATCTCCTTTTTCATATCTTTGTCCTCTACTCACTTTAATATGATTTGTTTAAGCAGAAATATCCCCTCTAACTCTCTTTCACTCTTACTTCTCATTTCCCTTCTGAGCAGTCCTCTCTTTTATGATCACTCTTGGGTCACAGGGATAATAAAAGGGAAGTACAGGTGTGGTCAAAAAGTCTTTTTGATTAAGAAAGGTTCTTGGCTGAATTAAACTAAAGATGTTCTGATACCATTTTGTCCTTCACAATACCGATTCTGATATCTGAACTTGTGTATCTGCTGATACAGAGCACTGATCTGATACCATTGTATTAAAAAAAGAAATTGCTGTATACTACTAACCCTGTATGTAATATGTTGTATGGCATGGATAGTGGCTAATTTGACTGTCAATCATAATAAAATAAATCCTACACTGGTTGTCCTAACACTAGTGCCACCCCTTGAAATTAAAGCCTTGCATACTGCACACGTTGCCTTTTTACTAGTGGGAATTTCCAGTGTAACATGTTTCCAAATTGCTGACATATTGCTAATGGTTAATGTTACTCTATTTACTGGAAATCAATTCTTCGCCACTCTAAAACAGTAGTTGCCGGTGGCTGCACAGAACAACTTCCTGCGTAAGCCACTGTTTTAGAGCAGCAAGAATTGATTTCCAGGAAAACTGCTGTTGAGTGTGCAACTATAAAGTTTATAAATAAATTACGTGGTATGTGATCGGTGCATAGACTTGCGTACTTGCCGATACCCGATTATGTATTTTAGGCACTATCAGAGGCATTTCCGATACAAGTATTGGAACAACTCCAGAATGAACTGATCTGGGATTCTGTCACAAGAAGACTGCCAGGACACAAACTTTTAAAAAGCTCCTCTAAGGAAAGGTTTTTTTCATTCTCTTTAAGCCAAACAGAAATTCTGTTATTCCAAGAACTGTATAAATGTATTAATATTTAAAAGATGACACTAGGGCTGCAACTAACGATTATTTTCACTATTGATTAATTTCTCAATTAAGTATTAAATTAGCATAAAATGCTCATGCTCAAGATCTTTGATTTACTTGCTTTGTCTGACCAACAGTCCAAAATCCACATATTTCAGAAGACGACACCAGAGAATGTTTCTTTTTTTGAAACAATAAATTGATTATCAAAATAGTTCCAGATTAATTTTCTGACGATTAAGTAATTGTTTCAGCTCTATATGACACACCCACTAGAGATGGTGCATAACTAAGCAGCTGAAGTTTAGCCAATATTTCACAGTACTGTGATTGCTTTTGTCAAGCTTTATCATGGCAGGTTCTCATTTCATTTAAATCAAAAAAAAGAAAAGAAAAAGAAATTACATGATTTTGTAAACATTAAGATCCAGTCTGCTCTTCCTGTTTTTTTAGTAGATCTCGCTACTGAAACTTGTTCTGTTACAATCTCCTTAGGAGGTTCATTTGAATGATATCATAAGGCTAACATAATGCAAATATTTCCATGTACGTAGGTTATACTCAGTGTTCACTCAGTGTACCCGACTGGAAATGGTCTACATTCTTTTCTATAAGTTCCTGACTCAGCCGAAAACCCTGTATAAACATTTAGCCATGAAATAATGCTCCTCTGTGAGTCCTCACCTGCACAGAGGTCCTCCTCAGCAGTCCCAGGCGGTGTTTTTTCTCAGCAGGTTTCCCTCTCGGCTATCACTTCACCCAGTCTGGCAAGCGCCCAGCGCCCACACCTTAGGCAGAGAGGGGAAACACCATTCATTTAAGAGCTGCTTCTCAACCTGTGCAGCAAAGCTGGCTGCTAGTTACACTGCGAGGTGATACACCGAGTACCACCACAGCAACAAACATTCCCCACATGCTTACAGTAAAAAGTAAAGCTAGCTGAGCGCTTATTCTGAGCTGAATATTTCACTTCTTGTGGGTGAAAAGTATCTGTAAACAGGGTTTAAATTATGAAGGATCCTTCTTTATTCTAAGTCCCACTTTGGTTTAGGTTGAGACCGGTATTTTCTTAAATAAAAATATTGCCTACAAAACCTCACAATTAAACTACAAATTAAAGAAAACATTGTACAATCTTGGTATTTTCAAGTAGAGCTCAATAGTAGTAGTGAAACAGTCAAATATCTACTATTTTTAATCAATCACTTAAGCAATTTTTCCAAGCAGAAAAAAAATTCACAGGCTCCAACTTTTCAGATGGGAATATTATCTGGTTTTCTTATTCTCCTGTGATAATAAACTGAATATCTTTGGGTTTTGGACTGTTGGTCTGACAAGACATGACATTTGAAGATGTCAACTTGTGACAGACATTTTCCACAGTTATCTAACATTTTATCGACCAAACGATTGTTTAACCAAGAAAATTATTTGAAGATGAATCAATAATGAAAACAATTGTAGCACTATCATTAATTGTTTTAGCCATTTTGTCAAGCAAAAATACTCCAGCTTCACAAACATGAGCGTTTGCTGCTTTTTCTTCATCAGTTTTAGACTTATGGACTTTTTTTTCCACCCGTTTCTGATATTTTGTAGCCAAAACATTTGATGATCAAGGATTAAAATAAGCTGCAGCCCAATGTCAAGAATATGACACACAGTTATGTTGAAATAGAATCACATCAGACACTTAAAAGTAAATGTCTCCACCCATCACACTGATGATGAATCAGAACAAAATCTTAGATCACTCTAGGACAGTTCATGAACAACACCCTGCTTCAATTGATAAGACAGTATACCATCCAGCTTACCATGTACTCCGCTGATAGTGTATTGCACATTATCATACATAGTGAGCCATTAGCCATCCAAGCTCGACAAGGCAATCAGAGTCATGAATGGAAAACGGCTGAAGCCTGAATCACTGCACAGTAAACCTGCCTCGTCTGTCCTTGCTGATGAGGAGACCTTGGAGAGAGGATGTGATGTGGTGGGGCATGGGGGGGGTGTGTATGTGTGACGTGGTAGGGCATGGGGGCGGGGGTGTGCATGTGCGTCTGTATGTGCGTGTAGGGCTGCAAATGAGTAACAGCCAGGCTGAACTTCAGGGTCACTCTCATAAGGACAAGAGCGACCAGGGATTACACCAGAGACCAAATATTCCGCAGAGCAGAGGCTTCGTAGAAAGGAGCAGAGTCAACACATTTTCCGCTTAGTTTAAGATGCAAGCATGGGCACGATGTCAGCACAAAAACAGTGAAGGCACAGGACAGGAGGCTACATGTGTAGTGTGTATCGTGGGGTCGAACCATTTCAGCCACAGCAGGAACGAGGCTGAGGAAGAATGCTGCTGTCACAGCCAAACACAACGGACAATTTCACAGACTAGAAAAAAGGGCTTCTTTAAATTAAGAAAATCCACAAAATTATTAATCCACTAGTGAATGAAACAAATAAACAGTGCTGTAATTAGAACACACTACAACCCTTTAGGCAAGCACAGTCCAGATGGAGTATGATGATTCAGTTGAGGAACAAAACACGCCAGGTGACGTCACTGCTCAGTCAATATGGGAGTGAGCTTCATTTTACTTGCTAATATATATATATAAACTGTGACATTCATACCAGTTAATGAAAGCTTAGCATGCATGTGGGAATCTCCAACACAAGAATCAGGTGCTAACCATTGCAATCACAATCTTCAAAGAAACCTAATTTGAGGCAAATGTATCTAGTCAGGTAACCCGACAGACAAAACAAGGGGAAAGAAAACAAGGGGAGAGAGATACAGGAAAAGACATGCAGGTCCCAGCCAGACTCAAACTGAGAACTTTCGATTTTGCAGTTCATGGGTGGTGCTCACTGTAAGCATTTTGGTTTTAGTAACTGTACTATAAGTACTCTGAGAAAATGAAAACCCTATTTTACCCTAAATTAAAAACTAAATTATTGACCAACCCCAAGCTCAAGACCAGTGTTGTTGGTGTGATGACACATGAGCCACTGGAATCCCACTGAAACTGCTTCAGCAGGACAGAGCATGAAAACAACCACCATTTTTAAGATTGACAGGAAAAAAACTGAAACTAACAGTGCAAGATGAGATCCAGTTTGCTTAGAATAAATAACCTTCACGTCACCTGACCTGACCACTGAATGAGAGCAACATCTAAGTTTAACCATGTCCGACGTCTACACCTTTTACATCAGCAGAGAGGTTTCCCCTTATACTGAATGAAAGAAGAAATCATCTCACACCATACAAGTCTGCCAAGCTCCAGTGAACTGCGGGACAGTGCAACCATGAACACACACACAAATACATGTGAACAAACACACACACACACGCACACCCACACACACGCACGCCTCCATGACGACAGGAGCCCGTCCCTGATTAAGATTTAATTACTCTGCAGAGGCGCTGAATAATGCATCTTTAGTCAAAGTGCGTGAAGGAGTTGTATTTTTAGACATGTAAACTTAGGAAGATGCTTTAAAGGAGACATATGTGCATGAGAGAGAGTGTCAGTCAGAGCTCGTACGACTGAAAGAAAATACTCCCTTCAGCTACACAATGTACAAACATGCTGCTCCCAACAATGTGACCTTCAACTCATCTACTAATGACTAATCTAAAACTACCAGAAGGGCAAGCAACTACATGTAGTAAAACAAGAAAATCAAGACCGTGCAGTCCCCCAAAAACAAAGATACACTTCTCTCTATAAGTTGCATCCGACACAACTGGCAATTATTCTCTTATCCAAATTTATCAACTGGTTCTACCACCTTAAAATTCCTCCTTCATTTGACAGTTAATAGCCAAAAAATATGTCGCAAAATAGCGTAAGTCAAGGGGACATCTTCAAATTGCTCATTTTGTCCAAAGATAATCATTTTAATATGCTATAAAAGACCTTTTAAAGAAGCTGCAAACAGAGACTGTGTAGTGTTTCTACTTGATAAAGTATCTTTTCTGTCTTTTCCCTCAATTAATTTACTAATTATTTCACCTATAACACCATTGTTTGTGGAAGTTTTATTAGATCAACACCACAGACGGACAGACAGATGAAATGTGACCTCCCTCATTTTCAACAAAAGCATATATCTACAGGGTAAAACATAGAGTATAAAACATAATGCTGAATGACATGACTGAAAACAAGAGCAGAGACTCTATTCTATTTTTAAAATCAAGCAAATTAAAGTTGAACCCCCATTCACCGACAGTCCTGCTCCAGCCTCCAGTGTAAGCCAGACATGCTAATAATGAAATGGCCTAACAGACTACTAACACAATAAACCATGCCTGACTGGACATCCTGGCATGGCAGCATAATTAAATAAGACAAGCACATAAACAGTGTGGAAGCTCGGACATACTAGAATGCTGAAACAGTTCGTTAAGTCCTCGCTGTCAGAACAAGACTGTTTCCTGTTGTTGTTTCCTGTGAGGGGAGCTGCATTCACTTCCCCGCCAATCAGCTGGAAATTCCTCACAGTGATTAGTGTCGTTTGACATTCATCTTTTGGTTATGTAATACACATACATTCACTAAATTTAGCATCTGGTTTAGCTGAGTAAGATTCCTCTGTTTTAGGATGTTTCCCTTCAAGAATAGTTTTTCTGGTTTCTTGTTTCCTTTGATTTCTTATCATTATTTCCTGAGGTCCACTTCCTGCATGATGATAGTGCAGATCTTCCAGGTTTTGGCAGGAGATCCTTTTTCACAATATACATTTTAATGTATCACAGCAAGAAAATGACAGATACAATATGCTTAGTAAGGGCAAACAGCATTTAAGTGCACAGGAGCTGCAACAATCAGCGGGCAGTCAATTAGTCGAATGACAGAAAATGAATCTGCAACTATTTTGATAATTGAATAACTGTCTTGAGTAACTTTTGGGCAAAAATACCAAAAATTTCCTGGTTCCAAGTTCTCAGATGTTGAGGATTTTTCACACATGATGCTTAACTCTTCTCTTTCAGTTTTAGACTATTAGTTGGACAAAACAGAACATTTGAAGACGTCTGGCATTTTACAGAAAAAATGATTAATCAATTAATCGAGAACAATCAGGAGATCAATCATTGATGAAAATAATCCATTAGTTGCAGGCCTAAAGTGCAGCATTTCCAGGATTCTGGTAGTGTCTATGCTGCCTAGAGACCACCTGTGTTTTTGTTTTGCTATGACAAGTCAAAACTTGTCATAAAAAACAACAAAAAAACTGGCTCAATGTGTATGAAGCTATTTAATAGTAAAACATTGGTTTTAAGTCCATCTAAATTTTGAGAATGACATCGGATTTCGTCTTCAAATTATAAATGTCTTGCATAAATGTTGCTAAGTGCTCAGTCCTGGCCTCAGCTCCTGAAGTATTTAAGAGAGCTCACGAGGTACCCAGTTAGGCGTCACCAGCTGATGTCTGCATTACACAGATGGAGACAGAAACCACACACTCACCGACAACACAAGATGTTTTGGAAATATACGATGATATAAACCACAACAAACAAGCCGACATAGAGTAGAGAATTAGGGCTGCAATTCATGAATATTTTACTTATCGTTTAATTACTCAATTAATTGTTTGGTCTATTAAATGTCGATAGTGAAAAATGACAATCACAACTTCCCAGAGTCCAATGTGACATCTTCAAATGTCTTGTTTTATCTGAAAAACAGTCCAAAACTCAAAGATGTTTAGTTAACTGTGATAGATGACAAAGAAAAG